TTCGATAGTCCAGTGAAAAATGAGCCTCAGCTAAAAACACAATCAGATCCATAAACAGCAGCGAGGATAAATATGGGACGTGCCTTGTCCCAAAACCCAATGCTGGGAGACGGATCACGCGTGTCTGATGTTAAGCTCTCCAAGATCCGAACGAGATCTTGAGTAGTTGCGCTGTAGCTTGCGCCCCAACCAAAGATTGTTACCCCATCCGTCATAACTTTGATAGTGGGATTAGCGTATGTCTTGACGGGCATAATGGTTTTGGGAATTTCAATAATGAGAGGGCCACTCGGAACAAAGCCACCTTGAGCCCCACCGATGGTACAGGGAATCCACTCGACAGATTGTGATGATCCCATGTCCTCGGCAATGACCAAATCAGAAATGAACCTCAGGACAGGCCGGTCTTTGCCTTCAGAATGAAACGGGATATGCAAGAGTGGTAACGGATAGTCTCGAAGCGTGACTTGAAGAGATCTCAAGGAGATATCGAGATGCATGGGAATAAGGAGCGTGTAGAACGTGTCCTTAGGGACGCCCTGGCCTTGAACATATAAGAAGTCAGGTAGTTGCTCCATCGGAAATGATGGCTGGGAGAGCTGTAACTGGAATCCATAGATGACGGCGCGGAATAGGGGTGGTGTACGGTGGCTACCGGTGACGTTCACGAGATTTGGAACACTAGTCGGGCGCTTCAATGGATTTGCTCCTCGGAAATCTCGGTGGAAGTCGTCTTCTTTGGCCGCCCTTTTTTGCCTCCGTTGTTTATGTCGCAGAAGCCAGTCAAGAGAATGAAGCATGTGTAGTCTTTCCTGGGCCTCACGAACAGAAATAGAGTGACCCGCATCAAACTGGTAGTCTGAGCTGAATGCAGTGTTATGTGACGGTGAAGCGTCAGCTCCTTCTGCAGCCAATATTGCAACGACTTTTGCATCAAACGCGTCTTCCCGCTGAATACGCTCTTTAGCAGCGTCGAGGCCGGTTCTCCAAAGCAACCCCAGCTGAGATTCGAAAGGGTCATCTGCTGCCTCCAAGCATATGGCACGGATGGACACCGAGATATTCGGTAAAACCTTCGGACCTTCAGCCTCTGGGAGAGGGAAAGAAAAGTATGTGCCTGTGGCGACCATACGATGTATGTGGCGCGAAGCCTTGATTGTCAGGGTAATGGCAAGGAGCAAGTCCGCGAGTACATATCCTGAAGGGACTGCGAAGCGGATACTGTCCCCTTCAATCAGGATAGCATCGTCAGGTTTACCTCCATAACTAACTGTGCACCTATGCAAACGCCCAAGCTCCTCCCATCGACCTTCCTCTATCTCCCTCCACCGATGCGGCTTTGCAGGCATCGGAACCCAGAACACGAATGAATTGAAGCAGCACTCGATGTTCCCGGAGCTGACAGTCGCCTCTAGGTAGTTGATCCGCGTGACAGGCTGCTGCCCTGGTAAATTCCATCGGATCTGCAGTGCCTTGACCATCCCCCGGAAGCTCAAGCTCAGGGCGCGTGAGCCACTGGACATTTTTGCAGGTCGGAACTTGGGTATTATGTTCCGCAATACTTGAAGTGCAAGGAGGGAGGCAGTGACGTGGCACAAGTCAAAGGAAACCCGGACTTCATCGACGGTTGCAGATATGGCGTGTGCACTGCACTGCAAAATTCCTGAGTTTTGTAACCTGATCCCTCGGGAAGTGACGTCGACCTCCGTTCTGTGTAAGAACATGAATTGTTTTCCCGTGAATGCGTGATCGTCTTTCTCAAAGATATACGGGTCGTCCATCGAATACGTGTCAGCAGCAGCTGAACGCAGAGACGTCTTCCACAGAACCAATTTCCCATAAGCAGCACTTTCAGTAGACGCCGCAGAAGCCCTTGCAGAAACTAATGCTTCTGCGAGGTGGTCTGCAGGAAGATATAGCTTATGTCTGTTCTGCGCACGTGCCCTCGCATGTTCTACAGACTGAACTTGATCTGGATGCATGGAACAGTACCGCATTGCTATGCCTGTACTAAACGCAACACCACGTGTGACATCGCTTTCGGCGTTGGGATTGATATCTTGACCTGTGATGAAAAGGACCAGCCGAGCGACAGATAGAGACATGGCGTAACCAAGAGGTAGTATGAAGGGCTTATCAGATGGCGTAGGCGTACTTTCTTTCACCAGGAGTAAAGGAATAACGGCAATTACAGCAGCCACAGACTGCGGATGCCACAATTCCAATATGATCCCTTCTGTGTAACAGTGTAGGTCGAGGAAAAGGGACTTTGTGCACAGCAAATTGAATGCGGTTTGTCCATCATCGATAAATTCCCCTACAGCAGTTAATTCTCCCCTGGCTTCAATTGCTTCGAGGGAGAGCAAGCTGTCAAACCCTTCCGAATTCGGATTATGTATGGAAAACCGTCTTGATGCTCTCCGCGGAAGAGAAGTTGTGTTCATATTCAAGAAGACAGGTTCCATATGAAAGTCCCACTGCAGTATCATGTGCAACCCAGTCTGATCAGAGAACGCATGACCGGAATTGTATGTGATGGACGGCTTCACGCGGAACGTCGATATGAAATGGGCGTTAAGACCTTTGGACTCCAAGACTAGGGAAAATGGCGTCTGAGAGCCCATTGCATCCGCACAGATCAGACGTGCAGAAAGGCGGCCAACTTCAATATTGGCGATAATTCGAGGGATAGGTGATAAGGTCTCAGGGAGTGCGAGGGACGCCCGGGGAGGAGATGATATTGTTTGGCTGCTTAATAGTTGATGTATCACATCCAAGCGGTCCGTAACAGCAAATTCAGCGAGTGAGAGATCCATCATCAACAAAAGCTGATTTGGATCACCCGGTGGAATATGTTGCAAAGACGAAGGCCATTCCGATGTCGTGAAGGATGCATCTAGGGTACCGAGAAGAAGCACCTGGAAGCTACTAGTGAAGACATTACTGAGCCTACTGAGAGCACTTTCCCGGATTTTGAGTCGCAAACCGTAAACGGAAAAAGTAGGCTGATGGTAAGATCCGAGCCAAGTGCGATGTGAAGAGTTGTGATCAGGGTCGCTTGGACTGCAAACGCAAGATACGTCCTGCACAGAAGCCTTGTAAACGTCTCCTTTGAATGTTTTGGTGATGTTGATTGAACATATGTCCACTTGAATTTTGGATAACAAGGACAATGACTATGTTGCGTAGTGGGGATGATGAACCTTTATCTCTCGTCAAGATTTATATTCGCTCACCGTGTGAGACCTTCTCTGGCAAGAACGAGCGGGCGGCGATGAAAAGTGGGGACGATTAAAGGACTAAAATGAGGGGTTAAAATATTGAGTATCGACGCAGCCAGAGACACGCACTGCAGAACTGCTTTCACTCGAAATTATAGGACTTTGAAACGAAACTGGCGATGACAGTATGGGTGAAGCAGAAGATTCCGTGTTTTTGGTTTTCAGGTTGTCAATTATCGCAAGGATGGATTGCCAACGGTCGATGGAGACATGGACATTCGGAACGCGCAAAGAAACCTCGACACTGCCCGCTTCTATCTTCCCGTCTTTTGGACTGAATCGAGCAGCCCCGCTGAGTGTTACTGTCTTAGACAAATATATAATTGGCTCGCTGCCTGGATGACCTGAAAATGAGAGCATCAATACCATCCATTGATTCCAACCATGAACACTCACTATGAATAGGGGTGTCGCCAATAACTTTATTGACCATCAAATCGAACGTCAAAGAAGCCTTTGTTTGGCCCAGTGTGCTATCCCAAGCACGTCTCCACGTACGCTTGAAACCCATCGCAAGCCGAGACTTCCATGCTCCCATGGCCAACGCTGCAGCAGACGGTCTGTGGTCCCCTTGACCGTTGATTTTGTCGGAATGAGGAACTGGGACCTGAAGATGGCTGAACGTAAGATGCGCATCTAATTCTGCTCCTTCAACGACGAGTTGGGTATCTGGGATAGCTGTGTGTGTGATGACAGCCGATTCGATTTCTAGGCGAAGGGCTTGAGTTAGAGTAGGGATGCGGTGAATCATCTGATTCAAAATAGACGTGACAGAAATGCGGATGATGGGGCGGATGATGGGGTCGAACACCCAATATACGGTTGACATGATGGACCATAGATGCAAAGCCAGAGGGGAGGGCGACAAGTCCACCAGAGTGATTCTACGCCTATGCTTAGTCCGAGCGGGCAGCTCGCGTGATAGCTGCTCGATCTCAATTCTGAGACCCTGAATCTTGAGTAGGATTCCTCTAGGCTTGCCTTCCCCAGACGAACGGTAGGAATACCCAATGCGTTCAATATGCCACGTACGATTTCCCCGACGGAAGTATAGACCACGAATCGAGCGAAGGCTGATGCTTCGCACGCGTAGATGATTAGAAAAACGCATGACAACGTAAGGAGCGATATACGCCCTCGAAACAAACAGGAACACGACCACTGCCGCGAGGGAAGACACAAGCGTGAACCATGACCACAAGCTAGTCAGGCCAAACTCATAGAACCAGAGCGCGAGACAGCTCATCCCAAAAACAGCACTAAGGCGATGCCGCAGAAATATTCGACTCATTGATATGCTGTGTGGGTAGGGCGCTTGTGATAGAGTAGAGAGCCGGGAGCGGCGTCCAGGAATGAAACGTTGGAAGGAATGTTGGAAAGGAGAGGAAGAGTCAACGACAACGATTATGTACTAGCAGTGCAATAGCAGAATGTTGTGAACGCGTGAACCTCGAGTTGATGGTGTAGTCCTGGTCGTCCAGCTGCAGATGCCTTTCCCAAGTCGAAACGCGTATTATTGCGTAAGTCTAGAAACAGCATGGCAATGAAACGGCGCACAGCCACAATCATCGTTTATGCGGCAACATGTCACTCAGGAATTTATGCAAACTGAGAGCGCTGATAGTACAGATTCATGAAGGCCTACTTGCATAAAGAAAGCAATGAAAAGAGTAATGGAAATGTTGCAGTATGGCATATCATATATCTGATGTCGTCAACCCACCCAGCTCCATGATCCTAGCGTCCTCCACAATTAGAACACCATCTGATGAGGGAACTGGCCCTTCGACAGGCCGAAGGTGGCTTTAAGGTATTTTGCAAGGTTCTCCTGCTTCTGCACGGCAGCAATGACAGTCTTGTCGACCTCCTTCTGGTCGGCGGACTTGGCTTCTGGGAAGGCCTCCTTTGCCTTCGGCTTGCCCTCCTCGAAGAACTCAGCCTCTGCAGAGCTTGATTTGGTTGCAGGCTTTGCAAAGTAAGCATCGTTGATCTTGGCATCGACCTAACACATGTACTAAGTTTGGCAATGATTCAGACTTGCTCTGACGCCATCTACGTACCTTGAATTCACCAAGATCAACCTTGGTGGATGTGGCGATAACATATGCTTGGTTCACCCGTCTGAGGGGAACGCCGTTGATCTTGTAAGGTCCAGTCACTAACAACAACCCGCTCTCAAGCTGCTTCAAGAAAACCACCCTCTTCCCTCTGAAACGACCAGCGAGTAAGATCAAGACGGTACCAGGGACGATTGTGGAGCGAAGTTTGGCGGGCTTTGGCGACTTTCGGCTCTTCTTTGGTTGACGCACATCTTCTGCAGGATAGAATCGGGGTGCTTTGGAGGTGGGTACGAGACGCGTGCCGCTGTTTTTGTCGCCGCCCACTGTCACTTCCTTGAAGGCGGGAGTTTCTGTGGGTGCGGGTTTGTCGGATTTTTTGAGACCCTTGTAAAGACCACGGCGTGAAGCAGCCTGTGAGCGCGAGAAGCGCCCAACGCCGGGTGCGAGTTGTCTGCTGCGGGCCATCTAGAACGATTTCAGTCAGTTACTGCCTAAGAGTCATCCACAAGGCAAGATAGCCATCCAACTCTAATCTCCACCAAAATCAACGATCAATGGGACAGATATGTCCCAAGACCTTATAGCATTCTCCCTGAGGTCATAAAATGCAAAAATTCGTGCTCACAGTGTCAGTCTTGAGGATACTGTCTGTTGAGGCGTCCGTGTCTATCAATATTACCAGTATACAGACGAGTGGTATCGGAGTTCACAGTGTGAGAATAAAATTCCAAATAAGTCATGTAGGTCACCAAAGTTGGAGATAGCGGTCTAAACCAGTTGTGCCCGACACGGACGCACGCGATGTAACTTAGAATCTATATGACAACATATAGTTTGGATTCGATAGATCATAAAAACCAATATTCCTAAAGCAAGATGGCACATGCTGGAGGAGGCCCCCTTGCGTCACTGATCAACAACAATTTCGAGCGCCTGGAACCTATAAAATAACCTAGCAAATGCATGCAAGCTCCTCCGGTGTACATGTCATCCCCAGTTTTGAGAGTCAAATCTAATTTCTGAATCTTGAAACTAGCTTTTTCATTCATCCTTCCGTGTTGGTAACGATGTGTTTTTCCACGTGGTGAGTTCGTCGATGATGTGGCAGATGACCTCCTTGATGGTCGAGACTCGAGAAAGTATCTTGCCTGATGGCCCAAGGTTGCTGCCGAATTTGCGAGTTGAAGAAGTTCAGAACATTAACGAAGTTGAAGTGCTGGAGGGAAATGCTTCAAATTGATTTCGACGAGTTGGATCGGCTCGAACAAGGGATACTACAACAGGCTATTCTAGATGAGGTTGAGGTGGTTGATTAATACAACGGCGAGGATGATGAGGCGAGCAGGGACATTTGAATATTGAGATGATCTTCATTAGGAATGTCCAATACACCTACATATAGCCTAGAGTTCTGCCGGTCATAACCGGATATGTAGTTTTCTACATTAACGTAGCGGTCTTTGCCACGTCAGCCGGCCCCAGATTACTTTTAAAGAGGACACAATCTCATTCATATCACATTAATCTTCATACCCTCACTGACGATGTCTCCAGATGGCACACGCAAAGAAGGTCGGTTTTTTCCGCATTGCATCGCACACTCTGACTCGTGTCAAAGATCCTAGAACAATCGTTTGGTTTGACATCGATAATACACTATATTCCGCCAGCACCAAGATTTCCCAAGCCATGGGTCAGCGCATCCATGGTTCGTCAATATTGAACTCTTTCAAATACTCTGAATGATAAATATGGAAAGAGCAGCATACTTTGTCACTCTTGGGCTCGATGAGGACGAAGCCTCCGAGTTGCATCACTCATACTACACTCAGTACGGACTGGCACTTCGCGGTCTAACACGTCATCATAACATAGGTAGAACCTACGCTGCGACCGCCAGCTGCTGAATAAACATAAGGCTCTAGATCCCATGGATTTCGATCGGAAATGTGATGGTACACTTCCTCTCGATGATCTCATTAAACCAGATCCGGGGCTACGAAAGCTCTTTCAAGATTTGGACAGAACCAAGGTGCGTGTATGGGCGTTGACGAATGCATACAAAACCGTAAGCGCCGATTCGCATACTCGTGAATATATAACGCAGAATGACCGACCCTTCAGCACGCACAACGAGTACTCAAGATATTAGACCTAGAAGACCAGATCGAGGGCCTTGTTTACTGTGATTACCAGCAAATCGGCTTTACTTGCAAACCGGAACCAGATTATTATCACAATGTCAGTTCTCCATACATGTTTAATCATGGATGTCGACTCAATCTTGCACAGGCCATGAAACAAGCGAATATTTCAGATCCATCTAAATGTTACTTCGTCGACGACAGTCAGCTCAATGTCAGAAGCGCTAAAAAACTTGGCTGGGGTCATTGTGTACACTTTTGCGAGGCCGGTTTGGAAATTGTGGATGGCGGAAAGACGAAGAAACTTGTTCTGGACACCAATACTAATGACCCCGAGAGCATCAGGCAGATCAGTGATTTAGAAGAACTCAGGACTCTCTGGCCCGAAATCTTTGTATAACAAACTTCTACACGAAACAATCTAGAGTGCTTGCGGCACGACAGTCACGTTTTCGCAAATCCGCGAGGGCTCGTCTGTTGCCATTCTCCAGTTTGGCGTCGAAAGATAAGACAGAAGGAAATCAGGGATCGATCAATCATCAAGGACATCTTCAACCTGTGGACCTTAAACCCCTCGGTGTCGATCGAGCAGCGTCTGCATATCTGATATCAATGCGATGTAATTTTACTGGCTGTAGCACGACCTACATGCTTCAAGTCTCAAGGCTCCATCACTTTCCCCATAAGATGCATCAAAAGGGCCAGATAAACACGATTAGAACTGTCATTTCTGGGAGGCATCAAAATGCTTCTCTGCTCGCAGCAGTCCCTGGTGACAATCTTGAAGGTCCCAGGACCCGAAACGATGTCACTCGATGAGATTGATACCGATTTTGCTCGACTGGAAGATATTTGCAGCACGGATGTATAAAATGATGGACACGGAGTTTGCTTCGGACTGGGATGCGGATGGAAATTAAGTCTTGAAAGGGAGAGCATTTGACTTGTGGAACTGCAGCATGATGGGATGATCATGGTCGTGGACCGCCGTGATGCAAACAATGATGGGACTTGGAATGACCTGATGCTTACTGGTACAGTCGTTCTACATCCACTTCTAGTACTATCAAAATAAAATTTGCAATCTGCCACGCTTGCTGCCAGCTGAACTACTTCTACCCACAACACTAGCTTCACCGTCAGGTGTTGACAACTACTCGTTACATAAATATACAGTCTGGGTGTCAAATATTGAATTTCGGCTAATGTAGGGAGCTGAGGATTAACAGAAATTCGAATTCATCTGTATCGGCTAAGGTAGGAGGCCTGAGGATTAATAGGAATTTGTCTGTAAAACCTTCCGGGAAGTCGCCCACTACTAGCTAGTATGTGTATAAAAGCGATGTGATAACTATGATTTCGACAACAAAAAACATCATCTACCCTCGTCCTTTGGAGTGCAACAATGAAATTCATATCACTCACCACTACAGTGATCATGTCTGCCGCAGTACTGTCGGGCATAGTGACAGTACAAGGCTCAAACCCCAACGGCATGCCATGCGCCCATAATGGTGAATACCTTCAGCATACTATGTTTTGACCTTAGACCGCGTACTTAGTACGGATACTTGCAGGAGAGTATGAGTGCGGAACACTCGCGGGTTATAACAACGGCAATCAATTTTTGTTTTACTGTTCGGAATCCAACATGGTGGAGGTCGCTGGGGACTGCGGCTGTAAGACTTGTTGTTCCATCTTGGATGGTGGTAATACCGGCAGCTGCATAATTAATGTGAGCCCACTTCCTGCTTGCCATGTCCATGATGTCATAGTGATACGATGTTACAGCCGTTCCGGCCAAGTCACCTTACATAAGGCGAGGTGTTGAATTTCAAATTGAGATTGTTCTCTAAGTGCAGTTCGGGCTTCGAATGAGCCCGCGAGTGAGAAGCCAGAACATGTATAGTAAGCGTAGACTTATCGGACTAAGTACCTAGTAGATGACGAGGTCATGGGACTTGGAACGACCTGATACTACTACTAGTGTTCGAGTCCATGGTCCATGTAGACACTTCTAGTACCATCAAAATGAAATATGCCATCTGCGGCAGCTGCCATGCGGCTCGCAGGACATTTCTGCTGGCAGAACTACTTCAAAATAGTTCTGCCCACAACACTAGCTCAATCATTATGTGTTACATAGATACACAGTTTGGGTATTAAATATTGAATTTCGGCTAATGTATGGAGCTGAGGATTAACAGAAATTCGAATTCGTCTGTATCGGCTAAGGTAGGAGGCCCGAGGATTAATAGGAATTTGTCTGTAAAACCTTCCGGGAAGTCGCCCACTACTAGTATGTGTATAAAAGCAATGTGGTAACTATGATTTCGATAACAAAGAACATCATCTATCCTCGTCCAACAATGAAATTGCTATCACTCACCACTACAGCGACCATGTCTGCCGTAATACTGTCGGGCATAGTGACAGTACAAGGCTCAAACCCCAACGGAATGCCGTGCGCCCATAATGGTGAATACCTTCAGCATACCATGTTTTGACCTTAGACCGCGTACTTACTATATCGTTACTTGCAGGAAAGTATGAGTGCGGAACACTCGCGGGTTATAACAACGGCAATCAATTTTTGTTTTACTGTTCGGAATCCAACAAGGTGGAGGGCACTCTGGATTGCATCTGTCCGACTGATTGTTGTTCCATCTCGAATGGAGGTGATATCGGCGACTGCATAACTTATTAAGTGAGCGCTTGAGCCTGCTTCCTGCTTGCCATGTCATAGTGATACATACGATGTTACAGTTCCATCTCCTCTTATGAAAGAAGGGCCAGTGTCGCCGCGTATGGATAGTATGGATCTAGGTAGATAACTTATGATTCCTGAGTACAAGGTTGATATATAATTCAAAACAACATCACAGTCACGACTTGTGATGCTTCATTCACCTCCAAAATCACACCGTCATAACCATACAAACCTGTAGAGTAGTCAGTCTGCGAGGTATATTGAAAGGACTGACAACTGACGGGTTGACGAGTTAGGCAGTGTGATATTATCATATTCATCTGTGCGATCTAGTAACATGGAGGGTAGCATCTCTCCAGGACTGAGAAAACGCCTGATCGTCTCAAACTAAACTTTTGGATCAGCACCGCATCGATATAGTAAAACAGAGAACCGGCAACCTTTTCATAAAAGTGTTTGCGAGGAGGTGAATCTAAATTATGCTCAGATGAACGCAGGTAAGAAAAATGTAAGTGAGGCAAGTTACCGTCTTCGTCATCTTCGGGTTTGCCCTCCAACTGCCAAGGACATCGTTTATATCGCTGAAAGAGCGGGGAGCCAGGCTATACGGGTTTGCAAAAAGATCACAAAGAGGCGATACGTGTCGTACCATATTCGAATGTATGATAATCTTTCGCACAACATGAGTCTGGCCGGATATTAGGAAGTCCACACCGTGATGGAAGTAATTATAGAAATCTAGATCATTAACGCTGAGCGGCAATGTTTTTGAGGAGTTCAGATTCATTTACAGTCGGTGCTACCATCATCTTCAGATACTTGTAGGTTCGGTGAGTGAATGGTCATTCGTTCGTCCTCCTTGTGATGAACTCGAGAGGGAGGTCCAAGATCAATTGTCAGGTCTTGTGCTGTAGTTTCTCCTATGCGAACCTGGAGAAGCAAGGGAGAAGAGAAGAAATTAAAGTGCACGCCATCATGTATCTGATTTGATTGAAGTATTAGTTTGGTTACACAGAAAGTAGAAGCAGGGATGACCTTGATAACCGCGCTGGAAATGTCACCGTGCATGATTGGACACGGTATTACCTCATCCAAAGCATCGCGCTCCTCTCCATCTACACTTTTTTGTCTGATAAAGATACGCTTTACTTCTTGTGTTCGTTGCTCTAGGTGCGTGATGCCCCCTTTGAATCCTTCGTTGACACCATCGTCATCGAAGCTGAACCATATCCCAGGGTACTTTAGTTCATCTCCTGGATATGTTGGACCGAAGGTACGGCTGACATGTACTCTAACCAAAGGTTCTGCAGACGACGATATGACTGTATCTTTGTAGCGAAGTATCACAGGTGGGTGAGGCTCCCTGAGTTTCCGCACGCAGATAGTATGGAGGCGTTGATGGTATCCTGAAAACAAGAGGTCCAGGTGGGGACGAAGATGAAGAATTACCGGTGTCGTCGCAGAGTCCTCTGGATCAAATTTAACCTCAACCTGAGGAAATAGATGTTGAAGTCCACGCAAGATGTCGATGACTGCCCAAAGGGAAGTACCTAATACAGATTCAAACGGCATGAGTCTCATACTCGTTCGGAGAGCCTTTGCAAACACACCTAACTCAAACATCCCAATCCCAGATCCAGGTCTGATGTCGAGGTCTAATGTTGCGAACATATTGAGGCTCACCGCAGATACGCCTGAGTGGAGCACGAAACAGTTACATACCTAAGTTAGTAACTTCATCTACCACGTGACTACGCCAGAAGCTGCGTACTATGTGGCTGGCCAAACAAAAATTCATATTAATATTGTTGCCGAAGCGCGGTGTTTGAGGTCAATCTCTTCCGTCATAGTACTTACTATCAAGCTTCGGTTCTGCTTGACGAGTTTTATCACGGCCGCATCTCACACAACGTTGTGTATCTTGCATTTCAGACCGCCAAGACTATCCGGACAACTCGAGGAACCTAAGATTTGGCGTGAGTAGCAAGTCCTCTGAACGCGTCCGAGGCTTTGGACAGTGGACACGCCGCGTCGATTCTCTACACTCTTGAACTTGAAGTCGCTATCCTTTTTTCTTCTTGTCTCGCACGCGCAGGAATGGCTGATGGTCGACAACTCACAATAATCAAGGTTCAAACCTCTGTCATAACAATTGATACTCGCAGCTGATTGCATTCACGACAAAAGGTCTTTCGAAAATACAGCCATTCGCTAGGTCCAGATGCTCTACAATTCCTGGAAGAAATCCTTGAAAAGCATGATATAGAGGACAATGATGTGGAGTTCTCAATCGAGACCATTGCAAGGGAGTATAACAAACAAGATGGTAACGCGTTTGTTGCATCAGGGGTGTTTAGCAAGGCTAACCCTTACAAAAGATGCGGCCATGAAAGTTTCATTGGACATCTTGCGAAGAGTCTATGACGCGTTACAGGACCAAGGCAATCCGGGGGAAGCAGAAGAATTACTAGACCCTGATAGCCATCTCTACTTCGTAGACGCATTTGAAATGCCATCATGGCACTGGTCTCAGGAAAGGGGAACATTCGAGAAGTGTGTTCGTATCATAACTTGCTTTTAGCTTTGGATCTCATTTCAATCAAGATCTTCTAGCCCTCTCACTGTTGCGGGTAGCGCAGACTCGCGAATAGCGGCGGTACGCAACCGACTGCATATAATCAAGCAGAGCATCTTACGAAACGAACACTTCTCACCATCTACTCTTCCATCTCGAGACCGAGAACATCTTGTCACGGTACTCAATAATCTGATATCGAGGGCCCAACGCTGATCCATGATTCGATCAGCTCAAATCCACAAAGCAGCTGCTTGGTAGAGCCGGCGAACGCTTCTTGCTCTTGGGAATGCTTGCGCACAACAAGGAAGGGAAATTGTGCGTCGAGGACTCGGACGGAAGCGTCGAGCTTGATCTGTCCAAAATGGCAAGAATCTTGAGATCTCGAGATGACGTTGCTCTTATGGCTTTGTTAGGACGAACCAGGCGAAGGATTGTATACGGAGGGCTGCTTCGCCCTTGTAGAAGGGGAATACAATGAAGACGGCATCCTCGAGGTCGTGGCTATGGGACAACCTCCTTGCGAGGATCGGGAGACTGCTAGGCATGTACTTCTGATTTTGTCACTATGTTGCTCACGGAAAATAGGTCAATCTACGGTCACATCGACTTCTTGGGGCAAGGTTCAACTTCCTTGCTCGAAGATGTGAGCTATCCTCACTTTTTGTGCGGACATCGGCTAACCATGCTGCAGTCACAGTTCGCCCGTCGGATTCGTGAAGAACTCTCCGACCTCTATTTCTTCTTCCTTTCAGATGTTTGGCTAGACCACCCTCAAACTCTCGTCGGACTTCAGAAGATGTTCGACAATTGCATCGAGAACAGCTTCATACCTAAGGTCATCGTTATGTGTGGTAATTTCACGAGCAAATCAATAATGCAAGGGGGCGGTAGAGACATCCAGCATTATCAGGGTTCGTGCATGTTGATTCATGAACGCACTCGATACTCATTTAATTTAACTGGACAGAAAACTTCGATTCCCTGGCCGATTTAATAGCATCATATCCTCAAATTACTCGAGAGACACACTTCGTCTTTGTTCCAGGGCCTCTAGATATCACGGGCAGCAGTGCCCTTCCCCGCAGACCAATCCTATCTACCTTTACATCCCATCTCCGCAGCAAGATTCCAAAAGTCCACTTCACCAGCAATCCTTGCCGCTTGAAGTTTTTTGGTCAGGAAGTTGTTATATTTAGGGAGGATACCATGGCACGAATGTTGAGGAACACGATTGGCATAAAACCAAATGTCACCGGCGAAGATTTGAGACGATATGTACGTACAAAATTTGTATAAGCATGCAAATGTTACTGACCTCGGGCTCAGTTGGTCCAGTCGATATTAGACCAAAGTCATCTTACCCCACTGACTACACATATTCAACCTGTATTGCCAGACTTCGACCATGCACTCCGACTATACCCTCTCCCGACCGCCGTGAGTAGTTGTCTCGTTTTCATGCGCCCAAATCATAATGCCATCCTAGGTGATTCTGGCTGACAAGTACGAGAAATACAAGTTGACATACTCGGGATGTCACGTATTCAATCCTGGAGGTTTTGTTGGCAATTCTTTTTCTTTTTCGACATATTGCCCTGCCGAGAGGAGTTCTGAAGAGGGGTACGTGATCTGACTGGCTTGTCTAAGATCGCACCTGATGTTACTGGTATTAGTGTGCTCGACATCGAGCAGGAAGACTAACTCGAAATTGGTGGTCAGGGTCGCAAGAATGTACATCTATACTAAGATCTTGTCCAATGCAATCGGTCGGTACACCAGAGAAGCCGAACGTCGATGTCTATCACCGCTTACACACAAAAGCTAACCTTGCGTAGCGATCAAACTTGTCGATGAAGACAAAGCGACATGAGTTCACTTGTGGCAATTGGAGAAACCGAGCATCACAAAGACTGTTGTGTACGTCTGAGTTTTATGGTTTCACCTGTCGATGCCGCCGCACGCGGTACCATTGGTTCGTGCGCGTGAAGTTGTATTCAACGCAATAAGATATCCGTTAAAAATATTCGCCTGAATTCCGAATGGCACCAGAGGAAGAATAGTTGTTGCTAGCACTTTATTGTAACGCTCGTCAAAAGCCATCGTCGAATATTGGCGATGGCAACCAATATTCTCGTTGTTACCTTTCTACTGACTCATCTTAGTTCATTCCTTCTCTCATATTCTTTAGTGTTCCTGACTCTACAGTATTTAAACCGTCTGTTAACTACTGGTAGAGTACCAGTGATCTTTCCCCCACCGAATACATTTAGTTCGGACAGTTCTATTGTCTGAAACCTAAGTCTATTCATCCTCAACTCTCCTATGTGAACGTTTTCCAAACGCCACATATTTTGAACTGCTTTAAAATCTAAATCCTATTCCACTATGGCTGCCGTCAACGAGGACTGATCACCCTCGTACGTCGACGACCCTTTCTATCTTCCTACCCTCTTCTCGTATAATATCTTCGACTATGTCGATGAATGAAAACGTACCTGGTACCTTCCCGTTGAACTCTCCGATCCCTATGGGCGGATTGAGCATTGATCCGGGCGCACTCGACCTGGGTGTCGAAAGTGCATGGACTCGCGGTGACCAAGTCACTGCTGGAGTCAAGCGGTCCTTGAGTCTGAGGGCTGAAGCCCCGACTAGTGATCAGCTATCCACAGACTCGTGGTTGGGAGCTCTGGGAGCCCTGTCAAAAATTAGTTCCCCACCCACGGGTGATGGAGAGAACGCATCATTTAAAGTAAATGATGATGGCGAGGGATCTGCTGCTATGAGCGTTAGCCCTCTGGGTAGTGTAGTTGGACTACATACCTCACAACTAGTGGTTTGTGAGTCTAAAGGTGTTGACTTCGCAACTGCTAATGATAATGTCAATGAGTTCCCCCATCAGTCCATGAGTTGGCTTGACTCACCTGACGACAAGGAACTAGTAGGCGAAGTGCCTGAGTTCCCCGTTCTGAGTCCATCTGTCCGATCAACAATATTTATCAGTTCAAAATATGTGGCGTTTGGAAAACGTTCACACAAGAGGGTTGAGGATGAATAGACTTAGGTTTCAGACGATAGAACTGTCCGAACTAAATGTATTCAGTGGGGGAAAGATCAAGTACTCTACCAGTAGTTGACAGACGAATTAAACACTGTCACGGTAGAGTGAGGGACACTAAAGAATATGAGAGACTAAGATGAGTCAGTAGAAAGGTAACAACGAGAATATTGACCAATGGAGCGTTACATTTACGCCCCCCTAAGGAATAGCGCCTTAATTGCCTGGTCGAGAGTTTGAGTCGGCCATGTGCATCACATCTGATCTCCATGAAGCGCAGTGATTTATAAGACTCGGGAGGTGTTATAACTAGATAGCATAGCTGTGTTGAACGTTAACGTTGAACGATGGATGAAAAATGTAAGGGAGCGCGAGTGAAAAGTCCGAATTTAAATTTGTTCTACTAGTAGTATTGACCATTATTGACTTTGCCATCACTAGCTTGTTCCATTTCAACTTCGTTCATGCTCGTTCATGCTCGCTCACTGCTCTGCACGACGAGCAGTCAACGTACTTCACCGACCATGCGGGAACGTTCAACCTCGTAGCTTCCAAAGACGAACGTTCGTTAACATCGAGACATTTACAAACGGGTTTCTGGATCTAGCCACCGCTCTGCCTCTACCATCGTCCTTTCCTCCGTATTCTACGACTATTATCATCTGCACGGTCGTTTCACGTCTCATCTGGACCGTGCCATTTTCAATATGGGTGTGTCTTTCTTCCTGAGCCCGTGTATCGTCAAATCAATTTCTCCTCTCAGGCAAAGCAGAGACAGCGTCGCGCGGAGGAAGAGGTCATGCCTATAGTCAACTCCTTAAAACCTGGTGTATCAAAACTAGTTCTCACCGAAATGCAGAAAATCGGTGTTCGTGGCACGAAGGAACAAATTCAAGCGGCCCATGGCAAACGCGTCAAGCAACTCGTGAGTTGTCGGGTGTTTCTCTCACCCTAGTCTAACACCATCCACAGTTAACCACGCGTCAAAAACAACTTTTTTCGGAGTACCGCTGTAGTCCTGGATTCACAATGGCAATACCTATAATCACACAGGTTCCGTTGTTCATGGGGTTTTCAATAGTGCTCAACCGGTTATCACAAGCACCCACTCCGTTTGACTCCGAGTCGTTCTTGACGCTTTCCACATTGGCGCACGTAGACCCTACAGCTACCCTACCAATTGCACTCGGTCTTATAACTCTAGCCAATGTCGAAAGTTCACGCTGGTTTATGACCGACGCGCAACGCGAGCGTCAGGAAAAAGTTCAGAAGTGGAAAGAAGATCGCGTTGCTCGAGGGGAGACTGTGATCGAACCTCAGAAGATCATTAAGTCTGCGCTGAGATTGATATCTGTTGGTCGTATCGTTGTCGCGACCATGGTGCCAGGGGTAAGCACGTCTTCGGTGCATTTTGAATTTTGCATATTAACTCACCTCATCATTCAGGGTGTCATTCTTTACTGGGTCACCTCAGCCACTTTTGGGTTGGTGCAGACATGGATCATGGACTATTTGGAGCTGCAGAGAAAGCGGAAGCTAGCGCTAGCTCCCGCACTCTCTAAAAAGATACCGGCAGCCAAGCAGTGATGACAACGGTTCTCATGCACTGTTGTGGGTAGATGTTGGTGAGTAGAACTATTTCATTCTGGTTGGGCGGGATGACTATAAACGTGGTTCGAGGGACCACCAAGTAACCCTTCCAAGGAAGTGGTTGGTGGCTCCTATGAATGTTTCTTGATCTAATATGACCGCCCTCGATTCTCCCTCCATGCACTCAGGAAGCTGATAAAATCTGCCTTTGCAGACCGGAAGTCGATTTGATCCGTGCTAAATGGTAGATTCGAATGGATCATGGGCTTATAACGGCTGCAGTCGAGGATGCAAGAGTCATTATCATCTCCCACTTAGAGAATACTACCAGGAACCAGTAATAAGGTTGTGCTAGGATATAGAATATTGAATACTTGTGGAATACATGTAGTGTTGTACAACAAGACCTCAAACAGTAGCACAGCCACAAGGAAGCACATTTATGATCAACTACATCCTGCTAGTATCACGACAAGGCCCGTCACCTTCCTTCAACCCATCAAAGTGTTATTGACTTATCGGATGACCAGGCAAAGTACGCCTTGCGAAATGGTTTTCCACCATGCCGCCCAAGGCAAAAGCCAAGATTGTAAAGGACGTCACTCAGCTCGTCCTGGCTCGGCGCACGCGGATGTGTAATTTTCTGGAGTACAAGGGCGAGTTTCTCTCTGTAGTATGTAAGAAAGTAGGGAGTTGACGTTGATGACGCAGATACCAAGGTCGTATACCGCCGATATGCATCGTTGTTCTTCGTTTGTGGGATTGCCTCAGGGGATAACGAGTTGATCACGCTTGAGATTATTCACCGTTACGTCGAGGTTTTGGACCGGTATTTTGGAAATGTGCGTTTCTATTCGCGTTGTTATTGTATGATGATGTACTCATTGAATGGGTATTATCTAGGTATGCGAGCTAGACCTGTACGTTTTGAAAGTGTCGTAGTATGCGAGACCTTTTTGTTCACTGATTTGTATCAGCATCTTCAATTTCCAGAAAGCGTATGCGGTGCGCTGTCAACTTTTATTGACCATGTAGTTTTCACATATCACTTGGCAGATCCTGGACGAGCTCATAATCGCAGGAGAGATGCAGGAATCCTCCAAGAAGTCGGTGCTGCGCGTGGTCAGTTCTTCGTTGCCATAACGCCGAGACAAGTTGAACGAATGCACATCACAGGTCACACAATCGGATAGCGTCGAAGAGCAAGAGTCCTCCGAGGACATCATAGGTCGTTTGGGAGCTGCACGCGGTTAGACTCATTTTCTTTCCTGTGGTGCTAGCTGTATCTATAAGATTTCAAGGCCCCTTGATCCGCTGAAAGTCAACTGGACCGCTTTGGATTAATTGCTGTACTGAGAGGCATGACACGGGTGGTGTATGACGTCTCATATTTGAGAGGTATGCCTAGATGATACCCAGAGGTAGTAGTGGCAGTGACAGTACTACTCTACGTCTTTGCAGTCGGCTTTAGCTTGTTCAGGACATACCATCTCACAAGATCAAGTGTTGCTACAGAGTCCTCCACTGAAGAATGACCGCTTGTTCCTCCACCAGCCTGGATTGTGAGACCGAGGTGTTCTTTCGCTCTGATGTAATTTCGTAAATAGGTGGTATGGAATCAGATTTGGAATGACGTACAGATCCCTCAAAGAACGTCGATATGGAGGACCTGCACGATGAGGAAAGATGATAGCTGTATCGACGCACTGGTGGTGGATTATCCGAAGTGTGTTAAGATCGTTGTGAAGGGCGTGGCCGATGATGATGGTATGATGGTTAATGAATGCGTCGAGGGATTTGCGTATAGAAGATAATGAGAGCGTAGCTTGCGCATGCTCTTCCTGGGTAATGCCTGAAAATCGTGTATTATAATCTCTGTAAGAAAAATGGTCAGGTTCGCGGTCACAGGAACCGATAATGGGGGGAACAACTAACATGACTTCAACCCCATCATCCATTCTTACTAGCTCATCGAAAACTTGTTTCCCGGAGCCATCGACAACCGAAACACGGGCGACACGCATACCTCCAGTTGTGTAAATCATCTCGCAATCTAAAGCCACGACATCTAAAGCTGTATCCGTCTTCGTATCAGCAACTGATGGACGTGTAAATGAGAATGCATGGCGTGAGTGTAAGTCTTCTGCTTTAGACTCGTAAAAGACGTGGTGGCCTCTGGTACATCCGCCTTCCTCAGCTGGCTTCTGGCAGCAAGAATAACAACGCATACGCTCGCCTTCAAAGAGTGTCAAAGAATGTTTGCTGCGCTATGAGAATTGATTACCATTGACTTTGTGCGTGAAGAGTTTTCCCCAGTGATATTGACATTCTTCCGCTGTGGGATTATTTTTGACCATGTATGACTGGGTACATCGTTCGCATTGAATGATTTTTCCTTCAGCACTCGGTTGATCGCCTCCAAGCCCTTCAGGTCTTTCGGTAATAAAGCCCCACGTCTGCATGGCCTCCAAAGACATAACGATTGGTTTGAGAAGGAGTCGAGTTACCTGGAGGTCATTCAGTTTTTTCTTGGATTCCGCACGAGCTGCCAAATCTTCCTCAGTTCCTACTGAAGGATGTGATATAGACGTAGGTATTGGACGTCGCTTCAAGGCTGCTATTGAATTTATGACAGCCTAAATGATAGTTTGATATGTGCGAACTGGCAACGGATGGAGCGCACGTTGCGATAAGTCAACTTGGTGGACTTGCTGTAAACTTGTTCCTCTTGCCGAAGGGCATGCTCAGATGCAAGGGTTGGGTTTGAGGGTAGTATAGTCTCGTAAAGGACGACAAAGTGCTCATACAGTGACTTTAGCAATGTTTGACGAACTGGGAGGGCGACTTGGGATTGTGCAGGATTAATTCTAATAATCGGTACGCCAGTCTATATAACACGATCGATGAATTTCAGTGTTAAAATTGTCAGTGCATGCGTATGCGTACACTAGTGTGCGATGCGGCAGGGACGGCAACTGGCTTCTGTGCGGTGCCGACTCTGAGACGTTGTGTCGGGGGACCGCTTGGAGCCCCATTGCTATTGGAAGACGGTCCCTGTGCTAGGTTATGAAAGGGCCGCTTTGAGGGCACTGCGCGCTGTACGACATTGGCAGATGGCGTCTGTGGGAGGGGTTGCACCTTCTGTACGGGAATGTCAAGGGAATTGTGAGAAGGGAGATCTAAGTTATGCGAGAATATACATGAAGGACGATTACAATTATTTCTCTGTGGACATGATAGTGATTGAAAGAGACCTAGAGATGAAAACATAGTATGAGTATGTAGATGAAGGAGTGGATGACATAATCAAGTACTTGTTTCATTTCGGAGTTGGATCCTCGTCAATTCAAACAATATATTTCCACACAGTCTGACATAGTATATTATATTTAGAGCCAGACCATGTCGACTACGCACGGCTCCCCTGGCAATGAGAAGCTTCTCAAAAGACGTCCTCGAGCTTCTTCTTTGCATCGCATAGAGTATGTATCTTTCAACTTTTTTTAATCGTACCATATATTCTCACATTTATCCAGGACTGACAAAGGGCATCATCTAACAGGCCCCTTCATGGTCCAAACGTGAGTCTTCATTTTATCTCTCATCTTCTCTGTCTTCAAAATCACCGGGTAGACCTTTGGGGTCTAATACGCCAGAGTCTTGTGACTCCCCCGTCTCCAGCGATAGCTTCCGCATGGCCAAACAGAAAGGGGGCTTTGTTGCAGACCTTTTCAGCGCTAGATGGGTCGTAAATCCAGGTCGGTCCATTTTTCTTCCTATGCCATTTCCAGATTTAACCCTCTTTGCAGTCTCATCCTTCAAGTTGCTTATGATACCCGTCTTATTGTACATCAACTGGGAATTATTGGCCCCTTACATCGCTCCACAACTCTCCAATCCAGTCGCCCCTTTTCTTCTCATATCCTATCGAATTCCTGACTCCTCTCCCGACGACCCACGCTATGCTAAAGGCTATTTAGACCTGGCTTTTCTTGCATTCCACATCGTTTTCTACTCCTTCGTACGCCAATTCGTCACTATTGTCATTTGTCACCCCATCGCTCGCTACTTCGGCATAAAGAAGGGCGCAAAACTCGACAGGTTTGGTGAACAAGGTTATGCTCTGCTGTACTTTGCGGTCATGGGCGCATGGGGCTACGTAAGTTTATTAATCATCTTGCACTATACCTTTTTTGAACCTGGCCTAAGCGCATCATGGGTCAACTTCCAACATGGTGGTATCGTACGGAATATTTTTGGATTGGTACACAACTTTCTTGCAAACATGTTCTTGTTTGACTCTCTTTCCAGATTACCCTCACTGGCAGATGAAACCCGAACTTAAACGTTACTTCCTCATGCACGCATCTTATTGGTGTCAGCAGCTTATCGTACTGCTCCTGGGTCTTGAGAAACCACGCAAGGACTACAACGAACTCATTATACATCACTTCGTCACCCTATGGTTAATTGGGTAAGTTTCGAAACATTACAATATCTAATTTCTGGTCTGATTAAGAACAGATGGGGCTACCTCATCAATTTGACATTGATCGGGCATGCTATCTACATGAGTATGGATATACCGGATGCTTTCCTGGCTGTTCGTTTCAGATCTGAATGCGTTTTTCACGACCTGACCTACGCTGTTCACAGTTCTCCAAGTTGCTTAATTACATGGGATGGCACAGACTCAAAGTGGGCTCCCTTGCAGTTTTCCTCGTCGCATGGACGTGAGTGCTTTTCACGCGTTTATTTTCCGTCACCGACCCCTTCAGTTACTTCCGGCATTGGTTGAACCTCGTTATCCTCCGGTCTATATGGTTTGAGTTTGATCTTATCGAGTACGTGTTCTTTTACCTACCGGATTACTGATTTACCGGTTGCATGCAGTGAGAGTAATCGCGTATGGGCCCCCGAAACTGGCGCTTGGCTCGTTTGGTGGATGAAATATCAAATAGTCTTTCCCATCTCTCTGCTCCAGCTGCTCAATCTTTTCTGGTACTATCTTATCTTGCGCATTGTCATAAGGTCATACGTTCGGTCTCTATACCTTTTTGTCACTCATTTTTGCATATCACAGATCATTAAGGGACGTTGAAGTTACCGATGTCCGATCTGACGACGAGGATGGTGATGACGATGACGATGACACAGAAGATACCAAGGAGGACTAGCTGAAAATTTACTATTACTAACGTAATGACCTCTTGGGCCCTTCTATCTGTGCGAGTCTCCAGGACAGCACACATTGCTATCATGTAATTTGAGTACTGTTACGGATACATTGCACGAACCATGATGCGTTTTCAGAAAGTACAATCGTAGTACTACATCAGTTAAGAGATTTCATTTCATCGTGCAGACATTCCGGCCCGAATTTCATGCTGCAACTTGCTCCTCAGGCTTGGTTTTGTTGATAATAGGCCCGACACCTTCCATGTCTGAAAAATCGCTATCTTCCTCCCAGGGCTCGAATTTGACCTTCACTCCAGCTCCGGTCTGAGGAGCAGTGGGGTGAGCGGTGTTACCTGTCCGGTTGGGCCACCTCTTCTCCCTCTGCATATCTAGAGGGTCGCCGGAGGCCATTTCCTTTATGGCCAGCAAAGTGTACTGAAGATATTATTAGTCAAACTTGTCTTGAGTCAAACAGATCTAAACGTACATGCGCATCATTACCTGCATTGTGCAGGAATGAAGTGGGGATTTGTAGATGCCTGCATACTCGCTCTAGCGAACGCCTGTTGTGACCTCCTTCACCTTCCAGTGCAGCAAATAAGTCGGACGTATCTAATACAAAGACGCCACTGTCGGGCTTTGCATCGGGAAGCAGGAAGCTGAGGTTGGGCAGGTCTGCATTAACGGTAGGAGACTTGAGGTATCTGCCAAAGGTATTAGCGTTCAGACGCGTGAACTCTCGATCATCCTCTCACTTGATGTCTTGGTTATTATCGTGAAAGATCAAGAAAAGTGGGCCATCCTTTTGCAGGTCAGCCACTAGATTCTGGATGCGGGTCCTGAAAGCAGATCGATTGACAAGTTCACTGTCCCCAAATGAAAAGTGCTAAATCATTCGCGCTAAGATCAGTCACAAGCAGCAACATCTCGACTTTCCTACCTCGCGATTGTTCTGAACGAATGTATTGGTGTAATGGCGATATTCCTTCACGATGAGATGTCCTTGTTCTTCAACTTGCTGGCCATCGATCCACCGGACAAAGCTCCATCCAAACTCAGTGAGCATGGTGTGGTCCCTGTCCCATGCTTCGAAGTCCAGAGCACACCAAACGCCGATTTTCTCCACCCAGAGAGTGCGAACGCGTTCAAAAATCTCACGACGCGTTTTCAACATCGGATCTGCTCCTTTCAAACGCTTGTTGTTCTTTTCTATTTGCTAGATATTCCTGCAGTCAGAAACGACGCGCTGAGGTGTTTAGCGTAACATACCTTGAGAGCACCCTTGAGGTCGTCTTTGGTCTTGAATGTGACGGGCGAGACGTGGCGCAGGCTGGATTCAGTTAGAAGACAATCAGAGTAAGGAAGAGATATAAGGTTTTTTGTGAGGCCCATGGCATGCAGCCAGTATCTCAGGTATTCCACCTGAGCTGAGGAGAAGAGCAATCGCGTCTCGAAATTCTGGAGCGTCCCTAGATAGAGATAAGACATACTATGCTGCGCAGCGCAGCGATTTCAATTACCCAAGAAGAGTTCGGCTCCATCGATGCCCTCTTTGTGGAGGGGGTGATCTGGATGAACGAACGCATCCTGTGCTAACGATGCCCTCAAAGGACTCCGATCTGCCTCTGGTAAGGCTTGATGCCTGTGCAATCCACGATTTTCCGTCAGCAAGTTGTTATCCACTAGATCTGTCGTACCATTCAAAGAAAATATCAGTATAACGATAATACCCTGTGATGACTGGGGACACCATGATCGATAAAGTAAAGACAACGTGCGGCGCTTAGATCGCGCTGTTTCATTTATTGTTTACCATAAATGGAAGGTATGTTCGAGTTTGTTGCCGAGGTCGCCGAGTCGCCGACCACACATACACATCCACTCCTCCTAGCCATTTATCACATTATAAACCAAAGCCTATCCTTTCTCATCTATTCCATTTCGCGCTTATTCTTGAATTGAATGGCACAAACCGTACAGAAGCGCAAGAGACCGACTGGTGCCACACAAGAAGATAGTTCAGAAGAACCCGGGCCCTCCAAGCGGCCCAAACACCCAACAGCGCGTAAGAGCACTGGTAGGGAGAAACCCGCTCCTGCTTCTGCAAGAGGTGGCAAAATACGAGGTACGTACGCGTCCAGTCGCGTCCATACGCGTCTTAACCTCACCTGTACAGCCTCGAACGCAGGCGCAGAGGACGAGCGGGATCAACAGCGGAAGAAACGTCGTTATCGCCCTGGCACTCTCGCATTACGCGAAATCCGGAAGTATCAACGGAGCACAGACTTGCTGTTGCGCAGGCTTCCTTTCTCGCGCGTGGTATGTTTTTCATTGTGTTTCAGCCTAGGTGTGCTGAATGAGGGCTCCAGGTACGTGAAATCGCGATGGATATGATGACAGACACGAATTACGAGAGAGGGGAGACTGGACTAAGGTGGCAGAGCTCAGCAATCATGGCTTTACAAGAAGCTACTGAGGCATTCTTGGTTCATTTGTTCGAGGACGCGTACGTCCCACTCTTGTGTCTCTTGAGTCTATCTTAACAGTGGTACAGTAATTTGTGTGCAATACACGCCAAACGCGTAACAATCATGCAGCGCGACATTCAGCTTGCTCGAAGAATAAGGGGGCCGTGGGGTGGTTTGGGGTAGGGGTTGATTGTTGATATTTATACAATTATTTGCGTCCACTACGAAGGCATTTAAGTTTATGCATCGCACTCATTATAATGACGAGCATTTCCTACTGAGAACGATGTGCATTGTACATGAATTAGATGAAGTGAAAACATGAAGTTGGACACGGCCAAGAGCATATCGAGAACATATGCCCGCAGTACCGCGTAGAATGAATGCTAGAAGATTAATAATGATACGATGCGCTCGTATAGTGGGCATAAGAGTACGATTGAACCTAAACAATAGAACTGTGTTGCGATGATTCCGATGTAAGATGAGTATTTATGCCGTTATGTAAATGAGCGTGACGCCAAAGATAGGGTCCTGATGCGGTATTAACAGGTCCGTGATTAAATGTCCTGCATGTGCTATGGGTATACACTTTGATGCCGACTTGGCGTCGAGCGGGTTTGGGACGTCGAAACTGGCCTTCCAGGTGCAGTGTGAGCGTGCACTAATGCAGGTGGCTGATGGGAACGATGAAGGCCACTGCTATGGGAAGAGTGTGCAGCTTGGGAAAACCTTCTGTCCCGCAGATCTGTTTGGCTTCCGTACTTTCGATCAGCTGTAGCATTACTACTACTCGGGTGCCCGCGTGTATCATCGCTGGCACGCCGCTGGTGCTTAGGAAAGTGCCCGGGAGAATTAGAGGCAGCGCGAGATTTATGGTGGACGCCTTCTACGCTATGAGTCGAGAAGCTGTTTTGTCGTGGAGACGAGGGAACTTGACCATGGGAAGGGTACGGTTGCGGGTGCGGTTGCGGTCCGAACTGATTCATCATGCCAAACTGGTTCATCATGAAAGCAGGGGAAGGGGGAAGTAAAGGGTCCAAGGAATAGAATGGCATGGTCATCATGGGAGAGATGGGAAGCGGCGAGATTGGTTGAACGGGAAAAGGCGAAACAGGCATGTTGCCCCAAGGGTTATATGGTAGAAGCGACGCGCGTGGATTCGACAACGGCAACGAATATTGCTTTGACGGGTCAAATGCAACAGAGGTGCGTTTGCTAATACGTCGCCCATCCCGACCTCGTGCATCTTCTGATGAGGTGGTGTGAGTTGAGTAGACGGATGGAGGCCCTGAGAAGCTATGCTGGCTCCCTGGGGTAGCAGGCATCGAGCTGGCAGGAGAACCATCGCCAGGCGAGAGATTTGAAGAAGAGACCTTGAGATCCGTTGTTCGTTGGCGCGTTGATAGTAACCCAGACGGGTGAGCGCCGCGGGATGCAGATCTATCACGTTCTATGTCCCGAACCAGGGAGGACGAAGAGGAGATATGGCCAGCTCTAGAGGCTTCTCGGCGGGCCCGCGAAGCCTGTAACTCCGAGGCGTAATTCTGGTGTCGTCTTTCTTCCTCTATTTTCTTCTTGTGGAGTTCACGAGCCTTGTGCTCCCCTTCCTGCTCTCTCATCTGTGCTTCCCACAACCGGCGTTCTTCCTCCCGCAAACGGTGTTCTTCCTCACGCGCGCGCCTGACATCCTGCGCACGCTGTCCCGCTTCCAATTCTCGCTTCTCACGTTCTTCACGAAGAAACCTGGCTTTCTCCTCGCGCCTTTTCTTGATACGTAGGACATAACCCAAGGGGATTTGATCGTCCTTGCCATCTTCCGCGAACCTGACACCTCGTTTGACAGCGGGTCTAGGGGTAGGCTCTGTTGCGTTGAGATTGCTAGTTTCCTTTTTAGATTCGTCCGGTGAGTCAACTGCAAGCGTAAGGGGCGAGAATTCAAAGTCTGCGACGGCAACGGAAAGGGTGGGTTTTTCCGTCGATGGCAATGCGACTGCGGCAGCCCCTGCAAGAATGATGAACTAAAGGCACGAACAGTAAATTACTATTACTAAAGCTTACCAGAGGTAGGTAGAAACGGCTGAGGCTGAGGCTCTGGAGACGGATCGAAGCCATCATCAATGTCGGATAGTAAACCCGCCAGTATTTGCAACGGCTCCGATAATTCGAGAGCCGCGACACCAAGCTGTGACCCAGAGATGCCAGAGGTGACTATTTCACCGGAAGGTCCTTGGCGAGTCCAGACAAGAACTCGGTCTTCGTAACAAGGGCGAGCCGCCCAATTGCCGAGACCTTCGCTGTTTCTCCTTAAGAACTGTGCCTTCGGCCAAGTGTCGACATCGGGATTGTATGCCGGTGCTTCTTTCAGAGCCACGGACCGACTACCAAGGGGTGCCAGACGGCGCTCCTCTGCGGGGGAGAGGGACTCCAGCCTGCTCAAGAGTAGTGCTTTGTGCATCTTGGATTCCAGGGTGTCTCGGCGACGAACATGTCCCACACGAAGACAGGAACGGGGGAAGGGTGTGTTGTGGGGAATATCCAAAAGAGGAGGGCAAGAAGGGCGATCACTGTCAACCGAGCTGTTGAGAATAATTACGCTCATACTCTTTCGTGCCTGGGTAATAGATTGTGAAAAGTTCTGAATGGGAGGATCCTGAGGATGATCTGCTTCAGATTCAGATTCAGATGACGTATCATCCGTTTCATTCGATGTCGGTTTCGGTGGAGGACGTAATGCGATCTCTGTCGTCGGGAAAGGCGGTAGCCAAGCTGATTTCGTACCTCCTTCAACTCTGTCCAGGTTTTTCGCCCCTAACCATGATTTCCAGCTACCTTTCTGGCTGGGCATGCGTATGCGGGGCAGCTCTTCATCGTCAGGAGTACGCAACTCCGCAGAGCCGGAGGATGTTGAGGAGGAAGAACCGCTAGTGACGAGCTGTGTGGGTACTGCTTTTCGAGAAAGCGAGTTAAACATTCTAGTCTTCCGTTTCGTAGCTTCTTGTGGGGGAGGGTCGATGTTGTTGGACGACGGTGCATCAGGCTTGTCAGCACGTCTCGCAAAGAAGACAGAGGACATGCGACGCATGCTGGTCGTGGTTGGAAATGTAAAGAGCGAGGATATGCAAAAGAAGGCGACGCTAAACGCTTTAGAGCATTACAAATGGGACTGGAAGTTAATGATGTGATTCAATGGTTGAATTACTGCAGATGGAATAACCCGAATTAGCACGTTTAGCGGCGTCTCTCACCCTAGTCGGCTACTTATATAGTTTGGACTTGAGAAATCACTGGTTTCCCAATGTGAACCGAGAAGTGCGCTATTGTTGACACTGGATTTTCAAGGATCCCGTATGTAAACACATGCAGCTTTATACACTTCCCTCACACGAAGATCAAAGGTGCCTGACAGTTCCGTTGGGTTCGTGTGAATCGACCCTGGGTGCAGAGAAGCCTGAGTATTGATCATCGTTAATTACCCTGCTGACGACAGAATAGTTGGTGCCACGAGGCGTGCAAGTTAAAGCAAACCTGATCACGTATATGACGCCCGCTATTTTTGGTGACGGCTCAGCGTCTGCCCTCAATCCTTCATGCCATCGAACAGCCTCTCTCTTTCTGACTCTTCCTTCTCTCGTCTTCGCTCCTTGTAATACCATCGCCGGAGTCGCCGCTCAAAGCGCTCAACTACCTCACACAAATAATCATCGCTAACACCAACCCATTTAGCTGATCTCGTTATGATGAGCGCCTGCTCTTCTGAGAGGTTTCCCAGGATATCGCGAGAATGGTAGATGGTATATGATTCTCCGGGTTGTAGAACAGTCGTCTCGCCAACGTTGATTTTTGTGGCTGAGAGTCCTTCGACAATGCTGTGAGGGGCTATTGCTTCCAGTCGAGCGCCTCCACTTTCAGTCGACAGTGGGAAGTAATTGTCCAGGATTTGTTGGTCTTTTCGGTATCGTATAAATAACCACGTAATCCGGTAAATGAGAATGCCTAACCTGATTCACCCCTTGGCGATTTTATCAACACCCGTTCGCAAAAGTCGAGGAACTCGTCTATAGTCGCAAGATCCATATCGCCGGTTGGCCTGGTGCCCTCTAGTTAGTTAGCCCGTGACGGAACCTTGGTGCCTGCTTCCTCACATAGAAACCTTGGAGCTAAATCGCTTCTCGTTATGCCGGTCATCCGCTTCGCTCATTCTCCTGAATGCCGATACGTAACCACGAACATCTGGAAGGGCGGATGCGGGATCCTTTATATCACGTGGGAGCCTGACCTGTGTCAACTCCATGGTTATCTCACCAAAGTGAAACAATTACCTCAGTTTTCCGTCGAGGCCGTACACAAGTTTCAGCACAACTATTGCTGTGGCCACTAGTGCTAGCTCCGGCGGAATATTATCATAAATGTGGATGTCGGGATCGCCCGGTGCGATGCGACGTAACGTAGGTGACAAACTGGGATGAAGTGTTAACGGCAGCGACAGAATATAACCGAGTCTCTTTGCGAGCCCGTACAATGTGGCTGAAGAAGGGTATTCATTACAAGTATAATTCAAAACTTCGGGGGAACATACGAGTGCCTCCAAGACATTGCTGCACAACCCGCCACAAGACAGGCGACGCGTTGAGCTCTGGTGTGAACACGCCATAATTCGCGTACATGAGCTTTGCTAAGCGAGAGGCGAAGCGGTGGATGTAAAACGTGCTTGGGGCAAACTGTAAACGTGCTTGCGATTAGTTCGGTTGCGTAGAAAATCCGATTGTAATTACATGAGGAGAGAGCGCGCGAACAGCGTGCTTGGTCAAATGACAGGTCATATCGGACGAGAGGAGGCGAAGAAAATCCAAATAAGGAAGTTCGTAAGATTCAATGACACTAAATTATGGGTCATTGTAAGACAAAAGGGCATACGAGCCACGACTTACTCAATGAAATCCTTGTACATCACAGGTAAGCGCATGGTCCAACATGCGACCACGAGAACAGCGATACAGTTGACAGGGCGGTCATATGTACTGACAAATCGGTAATTCGACTGGACGCCTTGTTTTTGAGAGGTATGGTCCTTTTCTTCGTCAGAGGAGCTTAGTTCGGAATTTTCACGCAGAAGCTCTGCAAGCTCTGGGTCTTCCTCTTCACTGCTAGAGGATGACGACTGGGGATCGTCGTCTTCGGACCTAGACTCTTTGGGGTTATCTAATGACGGTTTTGTGTCACCGGTGTCGGAGTCACTGCCCCTCTGCTCCCGCATGTGGTGGTATGGTTCCGCAGGGGGTGGTCTTGGCAGAAGAGTCAAATGTAATCCCCATATATCTCTGCATACAGTCTGGGCCAATGAAGTGACGTCCTCCGAATGACCGAAGGACACTAACCTCAAACTCGGGGGGTAGGTCCCAAAGTGCGATCAATGCTGCGATCTGCTTCCGCAGCACGAGCTGCAAACATTGATAATAGTGAAAGCGAGCACGTTCGCCGTGATAGACTATTTTAGATTCGCTGAACGTTCGCATTAAGAGGGTCTTTGAATCACTCACGCTTAGGATCGGCTCTGCTCTGCCTCGCCCTCTTCTTACGACCCGACTTGAGAATGCGCTTCCTCATGGTGTAATTACCTAGATCCTGTGTTTCGCCTGATTCATTTCTGAAGTTCTATCTAATGTGTTAACTTCTGGAGCACTCGTGCCAAGTGATAAGAAGTCGCACTCGCCTGTATGACATGCCCTTCGCTGCATGCAACAAGGCCGCTCGAAGAGTCCTTGTGCCATTGCTTCGACCCACAGAAGGGACATTTGCGTCGTGGTGCCATGACTGATGGAAATGTTACGCTACAAAGAAGCAAACGCCCACGTGACAGTATATCCGGACACGTTTGGGATTACTTCTGTCTTCTTAGTTCCGACTTTTCAAGTTCGCCCTACACATTTAGTCTTTCTGCGCGCTCGCGACCGCAGTAGGACGTGGCCGTGACAGTCGCAGATGAAGCTTTTCGTCTTTGTCGCATTTCTTGCTGTGCTGGTCACCGTAGTTTCAGCGTGAGTATCATCTTCTACGTGTACACGACTGCATTCTCTGACTCGAAACGCGTTTTATACTTTTTTTTATCTTTGCCGCAAGCAGATGGACCAAAGTAAGCTAGATCATTACCCATCTCAATACAAGACCTCATGCAGACAGGAAGGAAGACCATGAGATATTTGATCTTGTCACTGCTCTTGAAGTATCTGAGGGTGTGTCCTAATTACTGTCTAGTGCTTAGTTACAGCAAATTGAGATTCTGCCCCCGTAGGCAAGGGCACCACGTTCTACTCTTGGCTGGACGTGCCTTCAACAGCGACCCTTGTGGAGATTAATAAGGCGTACAGGAAAAAAAGCATGCAGCTCCAGTTGAGTCACCAGTCCCGTGTTATATGACATTGGTTGCTAAGTGTATATTTAGTCCTGACAAAAACCCTGGTGTGAAAGGCATCCATGAAAGGTTTGCGCGTCTGGGAGTTATTGCGACCATTTTGAAAAATCCCGAGGAACGTAAGCGGTAGGTGGACTCCACTCAGACTTCCTTCGAGTTCCGAATGTTAATTTGATTGTCCACAGATACGACTTTTTCTACAAAAATGGTGTACCGAAGTGGAGAGGGTCGGGCTATTACTATGCACGGTTCAGGCCAGGCCTAGGGGTATTTCATCATTTTTTTGCTTGGATGCGAGGCCCGGAATTCATTTTTGAATTCTAGACTGTCCTGGTATTCCTCACCATCCTTACATCTGGACTTCAATATCTCGTGCAGACATTGAATTACAAACGGGACCTGATGCGCATTGAGCTGGCAATACGGGATGCCCGACTTGCGGCTTGGGGCCCAAAGATGGAACCACTCCAAGGAAAACGGAAGGTAGGATTGTCTTCTGAACGTGTGATTTATAAATCCGGATATACTTTCGCTTACAGGTTAAGGTCAACCTTGGTGGTGGCCCTCGTCAAGACGGAGATGGTAATATTATTCCCGGAAAAATGCTTGATATGGTCGTAGAACAAGACAACGTATTCATTGTACGTGAAGTGCCGATATTACTCTGCGAAGGATGATACTAACTTATCAATTGAATAGCTGGATCCCTCAGGGAGTCTGCACCTTCTGGATACAAGTTCGGCTACTCCTGCGGCTATTTCAAGAACATGGTTCATCGAGCTATTGATCAGCAGTATTCGTAAATTCTCCTACTCCAAAGAAAGCTCCGGAAACGACGTGGATAACGAGCCAAGTGCGCCCACTGTTGATAGACCTGACTCTCCTGTGAGTGGAGCAAGCGAGGGTGAAGAACCTCGGCAGGCAGGATATACTGCAGCAGTAAAAGCTGGTGGGAGAAGAAGAAAGGCAACGAGGAAGCGATGACCATATGTCCTGGAGTTCTTCGGTACACTAGAGATTTAGCCTGACGGTTGTGGTATATGGTACTTGCCTTGCTAATTACAGATTAGATGGGATGTTTTCATTGACCCCATGGTCAAAGATCATGCGGACCTTGTTTAGACATGTAGCTCCATAGTTACTGTTGATCCTTTGCGCCACCACTGTTGGCAGGTGACCATTACATGCAACTCGACGTCGCAGGGTGGCGTAGCAGATTGTGATCGACAGTTGTTCACGGCAGATGAATGATGAGATTTGAAACGCGAAGGTTTACGGATCGATGAACCGGTTCTCCGACCTCGTCTGGAACATCAAACTTCGAAATTCGAACTTTCATATATAAAACAAGTGAGCTCCAACATTAGAAATTCTCGCAGACCAGTAATACTAGGCTACATGGTGAGCAGAACTCGGCAGGACACCGAAAAACACGCAAACCAAAATGAGGTTCCAGCGGATCGCCAAATATTACTGTTGTCAAGCAGGTCTTTGACTGCTTTTTTGGTCGATTGGATATAAAAGCATGGCATTGATGCAGGGTGATATAATGGCAAAGACATTGCTCCGGGTTGAGCACAAGGCAAGGCGGAAGCTGAACGCCGCTGCCATACACAGCAAGTTCTATTGGATCCAATTGGAGCATCATTGTCGGCCGATGGGGAGAAGCTCACATGTTCCTGCGGAGCTGCGAAAAGCCTTGGCCATTCAGACATGTGAGGTCTAGTGAGAGAAACGGGCCGATTCGCGAACATCGGACGCGGAGGAGGCAGTACTAGTACATCTGGCCAGGACATTGACATGGATGTCATGCGTAGATCCGAAATCATACTGCAGGGTCGAAATAATACTTTAATGATTCTTTCAAATAACGCACGAAGCAGTGCAGATGACTACATGTAATTTCTTATCATCCAATCAGTCCCAGGTGCCTCGGTAAACAATTGTCAACAAATGGGGTACTGACCTCTCCATTTAAAGCGCCCTTGACTCCTCTCGTTCAGACTGTCATCACAGATCATATCCTTTGAAATGGCCTATCAGTACCACAACGACCTCCTTGCTCCTTACCTTGCTTTGCCCCAGGGCGACAAGGTCCAAGCTGAGTGTGAGTTCCTTCTGCTCTCTTATCGATTTCAGAAGAAGTTTTCTGATCCAAATCTCAATCTACAGACGTTTGGATTGATGGCGATGGCGGTCTTCGTTCAAAGACCACGGTCGGTCATCGCGAATCATTGTCGATCTAGTAATATATATTGATATTCCAATTCCAGACTGTGAGCAAGAAGGTCACTGATATTGGCCAGCTGCGCATCTGGGATTTCGATGGTTCATCCACAAACCAAGCCCCAGGCAGTGACTCAGACGTCTATCTCCGTCCCGCCGCTATTTTCAAGGATCCTTTCCGAGGTGGTGACAACATACTTGTTCTTGCCGAGACTTACAACAATGACGGCACCCCCAACCGAACCAACTACCGCCACCACACTAAGAAGGTCATGGATCTCGCAAAGGACGCCGCTCCCTGGTTTGGTCTTGAGCAAGAATATACCCTTTTCGATGCAGATGGCTCGCCATTCGGCTGGCCAAAGGGTGGTTTCCCCGGACCCCAAGGCCCGTACTACTGCGGTGCAGGTACGCTTCTTTTAGCCGCCCAGATGTTCTCATCGTTAATTTCGCTTCGTTTTTAAGGAACTGGCAAGGTTATTGCTCGTGACCTCATCGAGGCTCACTACCGTGCCTGCCTGTACTCCGGCGTGAACATCAGTGGTATCAACGCTGAAGTCATGCCCTCCCAATGGGAGTTCCAAGTTGGCCCTTGCGAGGGTATCTCCATGGGTGACCATCTCTGGATGGCTCGTTACCTGCTCGTCCGCATTGCCGAGCAGTGGGGTGTCAAGGTCTCCTTCCACCCTAAGCCTCTTGCAGGGGACTGGAACGGTGCTGGTTGCCACAGCAACTACAGCACCAAGGCCATGCGTGAGCCTGGAGGTATGAAGTACATTGATGAGGCCATCGAGAAACTTTCAAAGAGACATGCTGAGCACATCGCCGTCTACGGCGAGGACAATGACCTCCGTCTCACTGGCCGTCATGAGACTGGCCACATCGGAGACTTCAGTTCTGGTGTTGCTAACCGTGGTGCTTCCATCCGGGTGCCAAGGCACGTTGCTGCCCAGGGTTACGGATACCTAGAGGACCGTCGCCCGGCTTCCAACGTTGGTCAGTATATCATCTTTTTGCTCGTTTGTCCCATTATTAACTTGTATTTTTCTGAATTAGACCCATACCGCGTGACTGGAATTATCGTAGAGACCACTCTTCTTGACAAGTAGAAGTTTTTTTTTTCGCTGTACTTTACTACATCTGTTTTTGTTGGGACGCAGTCGAACCAAAAAGGCCTGTATGGAATCAGTAATAATTTGTTCCGGTGCTTATGCGATGTGCACTATCAATGGCTGCTTTTTACCTCGGGAATACCGCAGCTTAGTATTAACTTAGGTGCGTTACTAATGGAATGACTTCGCTCCGCGGAAACAAACAGCTGTTTATTCTGAGTAAGACTAGTCGACTAGTCAACCCTTGCACATCTCACGCTATGAATATTATCCAACCAAGTATCATCAGGGTGTTAATGTGCCGCCATTCTTAGGCACTTGTGGCACGCTGGAGCTTGGAAGGGTAAATCATGCATAACAACGACGGTCCATTTTACATCGAATATTTATAGTCTGGTTACAGAACCTACGCAGGTAGCTACAGGTAACACGCTAGTGGTTGAATTTATTTATTTCGTTTGTTTGGTGTTGTTAGGATCGAAAGGTCTTGAAGCTTGATTGCTTAACTCGGTCAGTCCCAAACGCTATCGCACTAAGAGATTAGCAATGTTATGGATCCACAAGACAGAAAATTAACTCTACCTGCCTTTCTCAAAGTCCTCACGAGCAACAATGTGCCTGTACCCAAAGCAATGGCGGTGGCCAGCAAAGTGTTCGTCTGCTCAATTAGCAAGTCTGGTTGAATAACTGTGATCTCAGGTACAAGGAATCCAATACGGCTAGCCTCCTTGCACAACTTACAGATCTGAAGCTAAAAGTCAGTGGCGTGGAAGATAAAGAAACGCGGAAACTCGTGCTAGCTGCGATTCACAAGGCGGGGTACATTGCGCAGCCCTCGCGGCCGGGTTCGGAACCGAAACCAAAAAGTGACAGATCCACGAGTTTTGATGGACAGCCCGTAGCAGGTCCGTCTGAACCGAGGGTTACGAATACAGTGCAGGTCGTGGTGAGTCCACGTTCTGTTGCATAATTGCGTGCTAAATTACATAGACCACGCCAGTCAAGCGGAAGCGGAAGCGGGATGATGACTTACTAAACGAGCTCCTTCCAGACGGACCTCCAGATGAAGCTGCTGCGTACGGCAGCTTGGAGTTTAATGAGGTATTAGATGAGGCGGTACGGTTCAGCTCTCCGCTCGTTCGATCAGACGTGCTCAGCACGTGTCTTTTTAGGTTCTCAAGACGAAGTTTACAGTTGTGAATCGTGCGCCATTGATGACAGCCTGGGCAACTGTAGTTGCGGAGCGCTTAGGATTTGAGCGGGAGGAAGCGCTTAGCATTGGTACGTACCAGCCAGTTGGCATGGTGGATGCACTCAAACGTCACAAAGCTTCCGTTTATACTGAAATGAATGCGATATCAAAGGGCGTGTCCTTAGGTCTCTTTGACAAATCACGTGAGAAAGAGATAGAACCTATCAAGGATAGCACACAACCTTATGTCGACTTACTAGGAAGAAGGTACGTTTCTTGGCAGGTCTTGGCGTCTTTTACTACTGACACCGTGATTGTTGATAGAATGTACGTCCATCTGTCTGTCTATGTACACGTTCTAACGTTCTGTGGCCATTTTGCCAGACCCCTGTATCGGACACAGAATGAGACATGGCGTGCTCTGGACAACACCTCGCCGGCTCTCCCCAGCACAGCATTTTCGTATATATCTCGTGCATTTCGACAGACGACTCCGTACGTCATTGGTGCCCTTCGATTGTTGGCCGAAAGCTTTTCACCCCCAGAGCTCAATAACAAAGGTTTTGGATTGTATGCCGAATTCAGACCCGATGTAGATGGGTGGGGTAAGCGTGGCGAAGTGCGCTGCGAACAAATTCTATCACTCCGCAAGAAGGACAGAAGCACTGTCGCTGAGACCGCTGTGAAAAGCGACGTTGTAAAGCTGGAAGTCAGTCATGATTCGAGACCAGCTCAAGGTGCGGGTGGGATACAATCTGGTACGTCGGAAGGACCGGAACACAAGAAAGCACGAACGATGACCCTGGAGGAGTACGAAGCTGCATTGGATCAGGATGACACGTTTAATGATGTAGACCTGAACTTTGAATTTTAATTCAGCAATGAATCTGATTCAATTCGGATTACCACAACGACATGTTGCCGTCACAGAGCATCGGCAGAACACTTCTGTATTCAACAAGTCCCCTTCTTGGCGGTGTCCAGAACACCGATGCCATCGACTGCATCATTGGGTATAATGCGATGTTGATCTGTTTTCATCATGATTGCACTACCATTACCATATTTTCGACATTACAGCACAATGACGATGGTGATGGTGCGTCTAGAAGGCGACTGTTTCATGGACAGAGGACTTTGGAAGAGTAAAGCGACGCGCTATACTCTGCGTTGAAGGGTTCGCAGTGGCAGCCTAGATGGCAGGGGTAAGGCATCTGTTTGTGGCATTTTCCAATTATGTTGTGCATTTCCGACTTTTCTGGTGGCGTGTCGATAAAATTATTGGTCTCGGATGAGCTGCGATGCTCCCTTGGTCATCTCTTGCAATCAGCATCGACATACTGGGTGTGTCGCCTTACACACATTGTGCTGTCTTCTTCTGACCAGCTGCATACAACAAATGTCCCGAGAATATCAGTGATAGATGCAGTGAGTATTTTACTTTGATATCTGCGTTCCCGTCCAGTAAACTGTACTCTGATGTAGGGGATTCTTAAGCAGCTCGTCAATTCAATATAATGACTGCCACAGCTGTGGGTTTGTTCGCAGTGTGTGATCCTCCGAGGTTGATCGCAAACTGTATTTATTAGGCCATATTATGTACGTCGTACTATATTGAGTGTGGTCGTAGCTGTGATACTGAGCGGTGGGTTACACAGCTGCGATACTTCCGTTTAACTAAAACATCACGCAAGGCATCGTGATCACTCGGTCCCCCTCAAAGTCACGGTGTCAATGAAAACTCACGCAGCCTACCGTGACTTTGCGAGGTGATAGGCTCCTTGGGTTGTCTCCAGTGATATCGACGGTATGCAGACCTGTGACTATCCTCTACATGTTACCATGGTTTATGATTTCTATAGGACTTATATTCGCCGAGCGTTCAGATTTATATTGTGTTGGTTGGCTCTTTTGGCTCGTGCAGAAGTTTTGTGCTGGAACCACGCCTGATCCTTAGCCTTCGCGAATGTGAACGTTAAGCTCGTAGTCGACTCCGATGCAGAGGCCGAGATGACTTCAATTGTTTTCCAGGAGCAGGCCGCCCGCCATGTGCACGATGCACATGTAATAGTGTGTAGCACGAGAAATTTTTGATATGACGAGCTTTTCTTGAGCACACCCTACAGTAGGGGGCGGCCGGGAAAAGTTTTGTCGTGGTATGTGATATATGATTAGTTATCTGGTGTCAAAGTCATCATGCATCAGGAAAGAAGTAATCGATTCCTGTTGCAACAGTATGTGAACAAAGCCCCATCATGCTCGAATATTTCTATGGACGATGAGGTCGCTTCAAGCTGGCATATCCGATGTATAAATTTATTGGCAGAGTGAGGTATAATATTGCTAGGAAAATATACTGGTTTGTAGGCTCGACGGTGCCAAGACATTACGATCTCCGGTCACCGGCTACCGTCATGATCATGGGGCAATACTCAGGCCCAGGCTCAGGCTCGTCTGTTACTATGTGGTTCTCGTGGTCCTGTCGAATGCCAGGGGCAACACAAATTAACAAAAAGAATTTTGGGCCCAACCGGGAATTGAACCCGGGACCACCCGCAGCTTCAACACCTTGTGTTGGGGATTGCTCCCGAAGCGGGTATCATACTACTAGACCATTGGGCCTTGGGTTAGGGCCCGCCATTGACTCATATGACCACAAGGAGAGAATTCGGTTCATTCTCCGACAATGAGTGCACAATTGTCCCCTCAGTCTTTCATCTCGAGTGAAGACTCGGACGACATTATAACAAGCAGCTGGAACCTTGCGGTCACGAAGTTTGTTGTGCACGAACATGCGAAGACCTACCCCTGAATCTCAGTGTCTGGACATAGGCCGCCACACAGGAACTACGGGACACATGGGAGGGAGGTTCCGTGCAATTATCGCCCATCCTCTGCGACAAGCCGACCATCGCGACTCGAGGAGACAGACATGCAATACGCCTTCATCAGTGATCACCGAGGTGCACATTGATATCGTTCAGCCACTGCTCATAAAGGTGAAGTCTGCGGTGGAAGGCGCAAGTGGAATATGATCTAGTGTACAGAGGAAAGCACAGACGAACAGTATATATGAAGCGACTTGAACACTGGACTGGGACATAATGATATCACACTGATGAACTCAACATTGAATATTGAATACTATATAACAGCCATGAATATGATCCATTAATGCACCATCCATAGCATAAATGAGTGTTTTGAAAACCGTACAAGACGGCTGCGCAGCCTATCTACATCTAGTACCACATCTATATAGCATATCGTCAGTCGACCCCGCGTCCCGCACCTGTTGCGTGGTACAAAGATTACAAAGACAACTTAAAGTTTTTTGATGATAGCATTGGTGAATTCCGATGTCGTTGCCGCACCTGCAGATGAAGCAATGGGAAAACGAGTCTCGATAGGTCACGGGGTATTACTCACCACCCATATCTGCAGTCCTGACCTCTCCGGCGTTAATGACATCGAAGGTCGCGCTTGCAATACTGTTGGCGATGGAATCGAGACTGCGGGAGGAGAGTGTAAGAATTATGAGAACAAGGCCATGCCGGAAAACATACCCAAGATGTCTGAGCATCATGGTGGCACTCAAAACCATAGCAGTAGGGTTGGCACGGTTGGTGCCCATGATGTCTGATGCAACGTGTCTACATCCAGGCTCGAAGAGGGCATAGTCCTGAATAAATATTAGTACCCGGTGGAGCCAAATCCAAGTGTGCGACATACACGGCCGATGTTGCATCCTGGAACAATACCAGGTCCGCCGACAAGTGCGGCGCCAATGTTAGAAATGATGGCACCGTACAAATTGGGCATGACCATGACATCGAACTGGCCAGGTTTGGCTACCAGTTGCATGGATCTAGGTGGTATTAGCCGACCGGAGCGGAAAGGGGAGAGAGGCCTTACGTGTTGTCGATAATCATATCATTGGACACGATGCCTAGAGATTTGTACTCCTCCGCAATTCGACGGAAGGTGTTCAAGAATAGACCATCACCAAGCTTCATGATGTTGGCCTTGTGTACACAAGTCACTTTCTACAAATGAGTGCTTGTCAGCACAGCTCAAACCAGAAATGAACGTCACAACCAACCTTGCGGTTGTTCTTGAGGGCAAAGTCAAAAGCGAAGCGCGTGATACGCTCCGCCTTGGCCCTTGTGGAAACTTTCAGACTTTCCACTACACCAGGATAACTCTGGTGCTCCAAGCCAGAGTATTCACCCTCGGTGTTTTCACGAATAATAGCAAAGTCGACGTTGGAGTGGCGTGTGGGGAATCCAGGGAGAGACTTGCACATCACAACAGATGCATAAATGTCGAGCTGTTGACGCATGGCGACGTTCCATGAGATATGACCGGTTTGAGAGATTGGCGTGAAGAGAATACCTATGACGACAAAGATGAATGTTGTTTCTTTGTGTCTGTGACTCAGTAGAAAGAATAACTTACCCTTGAGACCAACTCTGTTGCGCTTGAGACTTTCCATTGCCTGCTTGAAAAGATCCTCCCCTGCCGAAGATACACCGGAGACATCATACTGCTCCCACTCGATGGGCGCATTCACATGCTCGAAGATCTCCTTGACAGAGTCTGTGATTTCACCGCCGATACCGTCACCGGGTATGAGGGTAACCTGAATACGCTCGATACCAGCACTATATCCAAGGGTAAATCCACGCACCGTATATACGCCGCCGTACTTGGTCGGTAGCTGATGATAGTATCGATACGATAAGTTCGGTAACGCTATTCGGTTGGGCGTGGAACTTACTCTTTGCGTGACTTTTGGAAAACCAGCCGAAAGAGTGGTTATAGTTCGCTTGAAAAAAAAGGTGAACATCACGCCATCTCATAAATGCAATTACCTACCGATTGCTGAAGAGTAGGGCGGGCCACCGCCGACAGAGCGTTGCGGAACATTACTTACAGATGTTGTGGAATGAAGGAAAGAAACGGAGAGTTGTCGTACAGTTAACGGGTCGGTTAGTTTTGGTTTTAGACATAAATTGTAGGAAAAATATGAAGAGAGGCGCCGCGCCGTGTAATCGGTTCACTTCATTTATTTCAATTCCGCGTTTGTCCGTGCCAAAATTGCTCCCATTTCACTCACTCTCTCTCCCTCACAAGTCCTGCTCCCTTAGTTTCCTTTCCAAAAGGCTCAATGGCTGCCGCCCGTACTGCTTTCTCTCGTGTTGCTCCTGCTATCGCAAATGTTCGTGCACGTCCTTCACTGGCTCTAAAACGTGCTGCTTTCGCTCGCGGATATGCGACAGCAAGTGAAAACTCGGTAGGAGTTGCGCGTCATTCTCATGTATCATGCCAATTCTGAATCATTTCGTAGATGACAGTCCGTGACGCACTCAATGTTGCCATGGAAGAGGAGATGGTGCGCGACGAGAACGTCTTCATTCTCGGTGAAGAGGTAGCTCGCTACAATGGTGCCTACAAGGTCACCAAAGGTCTTCTTGACAAGTTCGGCGAGAAGCGTGTCGTTGATACTCCCATCACTGAGATGGGTTTCGCTGGTATTGCTGTTGGGGCTGCACTCTCAGGTCTACGACCAGTGTAATACATTCTTTTCCTTCTGGCGTGCTTTTCTCATTATTTTGCTTAAAGATGCGAATTCATGACCTTCAACTTCGCCATGCAAGCCATTGACCAGATTGTCAACTCTGCTGGAAAGACTTACTACATGTCCGGTGGAAATGTACCCTGTCCCGTTGTCTTCCGTGGCCCCAACGGTGCTGCCTCTGGTGTCGGTGCCCAGCACTCCCAAGACTATGCAGCTTGGTATGGCTCAATCCCCGGTCTCAAGGTTGTCAGCCCTTGGAGCGCAGAGGATTGTAAGGGTCTTCTCAAGGTTCTTATTTTCTACAGTTCCCCGTCTGTGTGGCTAACAACTCTAATAGGCTGCTATTCGAGATCCTAACCCAGTCGTATTCCTCGAGAATGAGATGATGTACGGTATTACCTTCCCCATGTCTTCAGAAGCCATGTCAGACAACTTCACCATTCCCATCGGCAAGGCAAAGGTCGAGCGTGAAGGAACCGATGTCACTATCGTGGCACATAGCAAGATGGTCACGCACAGTCTAGAGGCCGCTGACATTTTGGCAAAGGAGGGTGTCAAGGCTGAGGTTATCAACCTCCGTAGCATCCGTCCTTTGGATATTGACACCATCAAGGCATCAGTCAAGAAGACCAACCGGTCAGGCCGTTATTTAGCTTGATGGATTGTTACTCAACTATTGCGTTACACAGTCTACTTATCGTTGAGGGTGGTTTCCCCGCCTTCGGTGTTGGTTCCGAAATCTGCGCACAGATCGTCGAGAGCGAAGCCTTTGACTACCTTGATGCTCCAGTTGAGCGGGTAACTGGTGCTGATGTCCCTACACCTGTACGTGTCATACCCTAACATGATTGCATACCAATACTGATACCTTTTATTAGTACGCCACCAACCTGGAGGCACTCGCATTCCCCGATACACCTCTCATCGTGAAGGTCGCCAAGCGGGCACTTTACAGGACCAACTAGGCACACTTATACTTTTGTCCACTGCATTTGCTTTCATAATTACACACTCATGGGCGTTAGTAGTCCTCTGGCCGCAATAGATATATCACCCGTCTAAATTGGACATGGTCAGACCGGCCTGCGTGCCCGGTCGGTAAAAGTTGCACTCTTGCCAAGTGGTGGGTTTAATAATTGCTCACACCATGTCACCTGTCAGTGTCATGAGTTGCTCAGCGCGGAAGGTTTGTTTCAATTGCGCCATGTGATGAACCTCCGATTTGTTCCTCAGGTGAGAGTGTTTAACGTTCAGCTATAAGGTTTCCTATTATTTCCCTATCGGGACCCGCGAGTGTAGGAACAGGCTTAAAATTTATTGGACTGTTGGTCATGCTTCTGACATCGACCATTCGGCCCCCTGAAACCTACCAACTTGCCTGCACTGTGAGCATACAAGCATCAACAAGTGCCACTGAAGGTACTAGGCATGCCCAGTAGACACTAGTGGCAGCAAACGATATATTAACAGATATATGAATATTTTATGCACTGCAAGCTGTGGGCCATACACATCATTCAGTATAAAAAATGGATGCAAGCATCCTCATAATATTCTAGAGTTGTTTAAGAGGACATGATATTTCTACAGTCACATTGTCATAGCTATCAAGTTACTACTGCATTCTCGTCCTAATTATGCTCAATTCTCATCACGATTTGTTCGGTGATCCACTGCAATCGCCTATAAGTTAAAGTTTAATTTACAGCCTGAGGTCCGTGTCATTTTTCCAGTCCGAATCGACCCGACCATCAAAGAGCGTCCATCTAGGATCGACGGACCCATCGATACAATCTAATTTTCCATTCCCATCGGAAGAGATCCAACCTGTGACAACGATCACGATCGATGGAACGTATCAAATTTGTACCTGACTTGATGTCATTGACAACAGCAGTATGACAATACAAACACGACGGTTTTGGAGAAGACCTGATAGAGACATAAAATACACGTTATTTCATGTGATATACAGCATCACCCGTTCGATACACACTTGTTACTAATCGCCACCTTCCAGAATTTCTTGCGTATCACTACATGCCAAGTCGAATACGAACTGCGTTCGCATGGGCTTGCAACCCTTCGCAGTCTGCCAAAGTCACTACGATAGGTCCCAACGTTTGTAGTCCATCCATAGTGACCTCCTGCGACGTTATGTGCTTCTGGAAAGACTGTGTATTGACGCCGCTGAACTGGCGTGCATATCCGTTTGTGGGAAGGGTGTGGTTCGTGCCCGAAGCATAGTCTCCGCAACTACAGTCATACGATCAACAGAAGGCGTGTGCCTGGTGGATAGAACTACTTACCTTTCGGGAGAGTACGGCCCTACGAACACGCTGCCTGCATTTTTTACGTGATCGACCCAAGCCGGTGCGTCCCTCAAGTGTAAAATGAGATGCTCAGGAGCGTAATCATTTGAAAACTCCATGGCAATATCTGTCCCTTGTGTTTTCACGATCAAACTTTTTGCCACGCTTTCGCGTACGATGTCGACACGACTCAAGGCGTGCGCTTGTTTATCCACCTCTTTTTCGACTTCTGCGAGCATGGTCTCCGAGAGAGATGAAGCGACCAAGACAACTTGAGAATCGATACCATGTTCTGCTTGTGAAAGTAGGTCGGCCGCGACAAAAGCAGGGTTACATGTGTCATCTGCTATCACCTTGAGGGGAAGTACCGTATTCGTTAGTCTTCCAAGGACAACGAACACGGTACGTCCGCAGTTGAAAAACCAGAGCTACTTACCAGTACCTCGGATGGCCCAGCAGGCATATCTATTGACACCAGTGCATCCGTGTCATTTTGTACGAGCATCTTCGCAGCTGTAACCCATTGATTCCCTGGCCCGAAAATCTTGTCAACTTTTGGGACGGTCTCTGTGCCATACGCCAGAGCAGCGACTGCTTGAGCCCCACCGGCTCTGAGGATGGCATGTGCGCCCACTTTATGAGCAACATAAAGTACCTCCGGGGAGATACTTCCATCAGCCCTGGGCGGCGTGGCCATGACGATTTTTTCACAACCAGCGACTTGGGCTGGGACACCTAGCATAAGTGCCGTGGAAGGGAGAACGGCAGTGCCCCCTGGAACATAAAGTCCCACCCGCGCGATGGAGCGGGCAAAACGGGTGCATGTAACCCCTGGCATAGTCTCCACAACAAGTGGAGCACCGTCAATTTGAGCGGCGTGGAATTTGTAGACGTTGCTGTAAGCAGCGTCAATGGCATCGCGTACAGCAGGATCGAGGTGCTGTGCTTCTGGTGCAAGAGGGTAGAAGGGTGGAAGGAGAAGTGGGGTATCCAATTGAACCTTGTCAAATTTGGCGGTGAGCTCACGTAGAGCAGAGTCTCCGCGAGCGCGAACATCATCAACTATGGGCTTGACCTTGGCAATCATTTCATCAGATCTGAGGACAGGTCGCTTAAGAAGTTTGGCGCGGTCCTCGAGGGATACAGCAGAGATATCAACTGTCTGCATTTGAATGGGCCCATTTCGGTCAAAAGGCGGCTTGCTAGAAGGTGTAGATGAAGCTCTAGGCGCTTCCGCCTTGGGTAATTCTGCTTTGGGGGGCTCAGCCTTGGGCAGCCATTGTTGCTTCGCATTTCCTGGCCTTCGACTGATCTTCATCGCCTTCTTATCTAGTGAGCGCTCAATGTCCCTGATGCTCACACCAGCAGCAACACAGCGTGCTAGGGTAAAGTAGATGAGATCAGCAGCTTCGAATGCCACTTCCTCATTTGTCTTTGCACGACACAGTTCATCGGCTTCTTCCATAATCTTTGCTTTCAGGAGCTCCTCGTCATTAAAAAGCCGGCGAGTATATGAACCCTGCGGCGCGTCAACTAAACGCAAGGCCAAAGTACGCTCGAGAGCGGCGAGTCCATCTAAATCGCCGAAGCACGAGGCGCGGTTAAGGTGACAGAAACCAGCGCCGTGCTGTATCACGCTAAACTCGAGCGCATCGGTATCGCAGTCTACGCGAATGCGCACGACGTCCTGCGTGGCCCCGGAGGTCTCGCCCTTGCGCCATAAACCGTGTTTTCTGGAGTGATATACCCCTTTGCCTGTGCGGATTGACTCAGCAACCGATTCACAAGACGAATAGACCAGGCCTAGAGAGCGTTTGCCCTGAGGATCAGAAGATACTACTGTTGGGAAAAGTCCGTCAGAGCGATCTGAAACAATTGGTGCAAGGAATGCATCTGCGATGCTAATCATTGTTTGGGAAGTAGAGCCGAGGGTGAGCTGGGAGAAAGGAATGACAACAGATGCGCCAACGGCTGCGAGTTTTCTAATGATTGAGGGTGTGGGGAGGTCAGGTGCTAAAACGTGCACTGCTGCGCCGACGAAGAAGCGTGATACGGAGTGGACAAGGTCTACATCAAATCCAAAGCCACTCGAAGAAGAAGTTTTAAGCAAGACGCCAGACACAGCGTTGCGAACGGAGTCGGAGACAGCGCTCACGTTAGCAACATCGAGGAGAAGGAGTAATCGATGAGGAGGCACCGTCCCAAGCAGACCTTTGGCAAGAGAAAGAGGCACAATGGCCTTGTCGGCGCCATTATCAAGGAGGGTGATGATTTCATTGACATCGGTAGATGTACTATCTTCCACCAGAAAATAACGGATTGTGCTTTCCGGGGTTGATCCAGATCTGGCGATGACTGGAGCAACACGCGAGACTGCGAGGAGGAGCTCCTCGTCGACAGGTTCGCTGTCGAGTAAAGCAAGAAATGGGAACATGACAAAACTTGACAAGAAGATTGACGCGGGCAGATGATGGATAATCTTAACTTTTATTGAATTCACGTCATGTACATTACAAAGCCGTGCTGTTCAACGGTCCAATAGTGTAGCGGTTATCACCCAAGATTCTGAAACACGCTTTCTTGTGACCCAGGTTCGATTCCTGGTTGGACCTACATTTTTTCTCCTTTCCGTTCTGATACTTATGTAAGCCCCGTCGATTTCTTAATTTCAAAAGTTGGCCATCATGTGCTGCACACGACTGATGCATGATGCCACCTTCTTCAGCCAGCAGAGAAGAAACTACAGCTTCGGATAACTCGTCTGCAGACTCCAAAGATGTAGGATCAAAGTTATACTGAATAAGGGGCCGTGCTGTCAATCACATAAGCTAGATACCGGAGCAGGTAATGTCTTCCTCACTTCAAGTTCACTCTCGCTATGATCTCTTCGTGCAGTGACATATGAGGGCTGAGGGCTGCAGCGCTGAGCAGTCGGCACGGAGGCCGAAAGATAAGCTATCTATTTATCAAATCTGAGTTCACAAGGAGAATATGTCGGATGTCATCTGCAATGGTGTGTCGGTGATGTACTACTGTCCCGTACATAGTTTTCAAACTTCTTGTGAGAGAGTAGGCACATCTTATGATGGCTCGCTTGCGCGTACGCTCACACAGCTTATCTGACTTGGAGGACTTCCATTCACCTTATCTGAGGACGTCTATCCACCTTATCTGAGTACTTCCATCCACCTAGCCCCCCGCAAGATGTCTCCTCAGGTGAGGCTGCGTTACGACTGCAGGTCGACTCCATACTCACCTAGTCATTCTCAGAATATACGCATCGACGTTCACCATCATGTCTTTCTCGATGCTGAGAAAAAGGCAAAGAAAAGCTTGGAAATAGGCTTCCGAACACCAGAGGAAAATCTACCTTGGACACCACAGATTAGTTTGGCTGTAATGGACAAGCTGGGGGTTCAAACAACAATTCTCTCTCCCCCTCCAGTCTCATCCAGTGGGGCGGAACACCCCGCGGAAGTGAGGAAACAGAATATTTACTCATCGCAATTATGCGCCACATATCCTGGAAGATTCGGTTTTTTTGCTTACCTCCCCTTCCTGGATGATATTCAAGGTACATTTTCCTGTAAAGCTTCCTTCCGCGTCGTTGGTCTTACGTCCTTTGCGAAACACAGGTACGTTAGAGGAGATCGCCTTCTCCTTTGACGTTCTTGGTGCAGATGGAGTGGCTCTGATTTCGAGCTATGGGGCTGGCAATTCTGCGAGTACGGCGTTTTGAATTGCAACGCGCTACAAACAATGACACAATGATGCTTTAGAATATGTCGCCGACGATTTATATGATCCCATCTGGGAGGAATTAGACCGAAGACATGCCGTCGTGTTTTTGCATGGCGCTCAGACGCCTTCCTCTACCCCTTACCCTCATCCGTGGCTTGGCGTGCCAATTTCTGAGGTGACTTCGATAGAATCCAAATAAATGCTCTTGCTCACTCTAAGAAGGTCCCCAACGAGACCTACAAGGCTGCTGCCCACCTGGTGGTCAGTGGAAAAAAGCGACACTTTCATAACGTGAACATAATCCTCACTCATCTGGGCGGGAGCACGCCATTTCTTGCTCCACGTGTTGCTGCCCTTTCACATTACATGGGTTGCCCGTTGACGCCGGACGAGATCATAGAAGATTTCAAGAGCTTTTATTTCGAGACTGCTCTTAGCGCGCACGAAACGACGCTTACCGCAATGGAGACATTCGTACCGTCTGACCGCCTCCTCTTCGGAACTGATTTCCCAGGTATTTAGCTGCGCGATGCATTACATAATTGATAATGATCCTGTTTTTAGCCGTGAGTATCAAGACAGTCGAGTGGTACACACAGAACCTGGAGAATCATTTCGCCGAAAGACCATTGGACCTCGCTAATACCATGCACGAAAATGCTCTTAGGCTCTTTCCAAACCTAGGAAAAAGCAAATACGTTTCCAACGGTGGACAGCAGATCAACGACGGGCCATAACGCGCTGTAAATTTGTGAAAGGATGCATTGAAGGCCGTACAAAGTGATGAAGTATGCAAAGGATCATAAATTCGATCTAAGGTAGCAGAAATGTAAATAGATGTCTATACACCGAGCCTGTGCAAAACATGAACCCAGTCACGAATGAACAAGAGCCAAAAAACGTACCTTCGCTTGCTGTGTTCATAGACAACGTATGATATAGAGACTGAAGGGATGACCTATGACAGTGATTAGCGTGGCAGCTACGCCATAACTCACAATAGTATACCTTCGCTAATGTCGGGAATAGTCCGCGATAAAATCCTCTCCACCCATCCCGTTGATACGTCCTTGTCACTACGTCCCAAGGACCCTTATAGCGCTGTGGATGGCCTGACGAACCTGATGCCTGTAACCGCGTCCGTACCAAATTTAACGGATACACGCTCGTGGCACCTACACTCCCAGATATGCTCCCAAAGGCAAGAATAGCAAGCACACCAGGCTCGTCTCTCCCAGTCGATCGCAAATATGCCAACTTCAATGCCTCAAAGGTGCTCATATCAATCGCCGAGTATCTGTGGTTCGATTAATGGAATAACTTTGTTAAGCCATCAGAATATTTACGGGAAAACTCCAATGAGACCGATCTTGTCTCCTGTCAGATGGAAGGCAAGGTCACCAACAACGCAAGACGAACCGTCAAACCGCGGTAGAAGGCTCGGAAGCGGCCAAGTTGCCACACTCTCCGGGCAGCACCCACGAGGCTTCGTTTCTGGTCGCCTGTCGAACTCATCATTTGTGTCTGTAAGGCACATGTTTATTATATTGTCAATCTAGGAACTCATTTGCTTCATACCTTCAGTGTCTCGATTGGATATATACCTTCATGGTGATGAGATGAAGGAACGAACAGGAGGGGGATCCATGTTTACTCACTAAGCTGGCTTGAAATTCCGCCAAGACCTCCGGAGAGGAAGCGACTTGTTCCGCTAATGTCCCTCGTGTCCTCCACACGATCCCAATATTGTGCGAAAGCTCGTTTCTGTAGATGTCAGGTCCAGATAGACCGCAAGCCAGAACAAGGTACATACAGCCGATTCATACGTCAAGAATTTGATAGCCGATTCAGGGAATATCTTCAGCACGGAAAGGCCATTGCCCGTCCAGAACGCAAGTGCACCGCCTTCGGAATAGATGCGTGCAACTGCGCCTGCGATCGCTTTTAATCCTCCCATCCCTGGCTTAGGTTGGATCGCAGCGCCGCCCATCTCAGGAGGGCGAGTGATTAGGAAAATTTTCACACGATCAAAAGGTGCTGTACATGTTCGAGACACTTCGGCGGATGTTAACTCACGGCGCAGTCAAGAGTCATAGTTGCGTACCAGCTCCTGCGAATCCACCAGCCATGAGAAACTTGAAAGCAGTAGGAGCTCCCAGCCAATCATGGTGTTCCTCTACCTCGTCATCGAATTCGTCATCTCCAATCACATCGGAACTGTCCCATAGTGATAGTAGAGGCTTGTCTTCCGCACTGAGACTGACGTCACCTGAAAATAATATTCACGCTTCGAATCATGGATGACGGGGATGAAATGTCAAACCTTCCATTGTTACCCGCGCCGCTCCCCTTCCGTCATCTCCCATAAACCTCTTCACTTCGTAGTATTGGTATATTTCAGCCGCGGATGCCTTTCGAGGTAATAATAATAAGAAATCCCTGAACTCCCGAAAGTTGATCATATGTGAATGTGACGACCAGGTCAGATACGTCATGAATTCAGTCAGTGTGGACGGCGGAAGTGTTATCCCTGGAAAATCATAAGGGCGAGCCATGCAAGATCACATGAATCTCACCGGCTTTGCTCAATGCTAATGTCAATTCCTGCGCATCGAGGTGGCCATTGCCATCGAGATCCAGCTCATCATGGAATATCGACCATAATTCTAAACCGCCTTTGTAAGATGTACCCAGCACGCCGTAACACAAAGTACTCACCAGCTTCCTTGGTCTCGGCATACCGCCGAAACTCAGGCCACCTAATATGACTAGGCCGTTCATTCGTTATGTGACCTCCACACTTCCCAAGGAGCTCATCCTCATATACCTTCTTCATTTCCTCCGCTCTCTGTGCCGCCAGCGGGTCCCCAGCAGGAAACGTTCTTGATGCAGCTACTCCCGATCCATGGTAGCTCGAATTAGGCAAATGCTTCCACAGTTCATGCAAACGTCTCTCCCGCTCCTCCTTCCCCTCTTGCTTTCGAAACTCGAGAAGATTGTGCGGAACCAGATGAAAGGGAGGAGGGTCGGACCTCAGTCGCGGGATAAATGGCCGATCATGGGCACCGGTGAGACAGGACTCGTAAAGTTCACGGCTCGTGGGGTGTTTTTCTGGAGCGTCCGCCATGAACTCAAGCCGGGCGAGATAGATAGATTGTGATGCCCGATTACGATAGTCAGTGTAGAATTCATGAAGACATTCTACACGTTTTTGAAACGTTCAGTTGGCGTAGTGTAGACCAATAGAAAACTGATGGAGTTCTGTTTACCACTGCTTGCCGAACCAAATTTAAACCAGTCATGCTCCTAGGCCAGTCACTTGGCAGATTCTGTCAAACAACTGTGTTGCAAATCAGTCGTGAAAAATGTGCTGCATAGTCTTTACAAAGAAATGGTAGTGTAAGAATGCACAAATGCGAAGTACAGTAAAGTTACAGTAAAATAGTTTCATTGTCCATCAGAGTCCCAATAAACATAGCAAATGCACAAAGAAGACCAAGTTCCCACTACATTACAGACAACATAGACCAGATATGAAACGCTTGAAGCCACTTGCGACTGACTGCCACCAACTGCGCTTTGCACGACCAGCGGCATCTCGATCAAGGAGGGCAGCAGGGAACTCAGAGGCATCCCGAGTAATCTCTTTATTGATCAGGCCTTGAGCAGAGGGAGTCGCAGTACCCTCGGTCCATTTCTCAGAATTAAGAGTGAAATTAAGAGTCGAGTTGAGAGTAGAGGGACGCCTATCGTGACCAGGAGAGTACGTGGGAGGTTGAGAAAACTTATCATGCCCAGCATGATTAGAAGGAGAGGAGACATCGTAGTGAGCCAGCACACTTGCAGGGGGTGTCGGCAGCGACGGCTTGGGAGGTACAGGCGGAGGTCCTGGCTTCTCAATCGAAATCAACGGAGCCGCGTCATGGTCTTGTTCACGAGAAGCCAAGGGAAGTGTGGAGTGGGGTGCCTTGCGTCAGTTGTCAACCCAAAGCACTTATTCAAAGGTAAGGCACATTACACATACTAGTTGTGATATGATAGTAGGCGTTGGCGAGTCACATCCAGATCCAGCTGATCTGGGCCTCTTGCGTTGGTTGGGGATTGGGGGCGTCGGGGGGCGAAATTCCTACAGAGTATGAAGACTCGATCTGGAAATATTTGCAGTCTACACGCACCTCTTGATAAGACGGCTGCCGTGCCGTGGATCGCATTAGGTGTTCCCAGGGCGTGGGCGAATTTGGACGAGACACGAGTTCCTCGTCGTGGTAGCTCTCAGTAGGTGTAGGAGGGGTAAAGTTCATAGTTCCCGATGTCCCCCAATCCTGTGATATATGAGTAAAGTTTGGATTCCTTGATCCAAGGATTAGCGTACAGGCGTTGAGGGTGACAGCCTTTCTGTGGAGAGTTCGGCACCGGTCCCATGAGCGTCGTGGCTCGATGGGCCCACGACTGTGATAATAGCAGGCAGGCCAGACGTCGCTCTTCCCTCTCTAGATACCGCCCGGTCAATTGCATTACGCCAGTCGGGGGGTAGCTTGAATAAATCGGCAAATATTCAGCTCTTTTAACAAGGAACGTGTGTATGTACTTACAGGAGGAGCGTCCTGATTGATAGAAGTGTGTGAAAAAGAAAACCGTCTCGTGGAGCTCGTCGGCGAACCATGGGGAGAAGCCGGGGGCGAGGGAATGAATTTTGGGACGGGCTTCCTATAACTCGAAGTTCGGCTGGATAGCTTCGGTGCCGACATTGTGACAGAATAGACAAATGTGGTGGGAGACGGTGACTTATGTGCGACGACCTCTTTGAGTCGAGACGTATGTGGCACCAATTATACCACAATTATAGCCTGTTGCTTTGCGTGGGCCTAGGATCAAAGTAGTCGTATAACAATTAAAGAAAATAATGATGAAAGAGAGAAAGGAACGGACTTCATATATAGAAACGCCTCGAGTTTATCCCGAGGCGGAAGTCATTAAGGCTTGGGAAATTCCTCTCTCTCGTCAGCAGCCACGCTTTGGACGTACAGAAGGCTCACCTCATGTATACCGCACGTGTGGCTGCGTTTGACTGGCTACAGTCACAATGAGACAACCGATCGCGACGAGCGCGAATCCTGACAAACAGGTCAGAGGGGAGTCCCAAGTTGCAAAATTGTTTGCCACCGGCATTCATTGATTAGTCGAGGACAAAGAACGATTTCCGCAGCCGTAAAGTCTTAATAGCACGATTCATAAAGCATTGTGCTCACGTACCTGATCTCCAAGGATAACTCCGAGCTTGTAACTTGTTAGGCTGTGAGGAGTCTGGAGGAGTGCACCCTGTACATTTCGGAATCAGTTCACCCCAATTATGGCATATCCTCTGTAATGAAACTTTCACTCTATTGAACTTTGACTCCGCACTTCCAAACTTTTCCCGATGTGCTTTACATCATACCCGATAAGCACAACGATATATATATCATGATGATCAGTGGAGCACAAGTTCCGTCAACATTTCCCGGCGCCCAAAATCCGCTGCGAAGTAACGTAGAAAAAGTCGGCAAACAGTGAACACCCTAACAGTAAGACATAATGCCATTGGATCAAGAAGATGAATAACTATATGTCAGTGAATTGCGTAGCTTTGTATGCGATTGAATTGTACGAGGTACAAGTTAGGTCATTAAATGGCGTTACTTGATGAATAGACAGATGGAAGCAATGCGTTAGTCGAAGTCGAAGGACGTGTCGAGGGTGGGTAAAGTTGAATCAAGGGTATCAAGGTTATGCTTAATGGAGTCCAAGCCAGATGATAACGCATTCTCGTCGTGGGATTATAATTATCGTTGCAGGCAAGACGGACGCAACCTCCCGGCTCCCGGATCCCGTCGTGAATAGATGAAGTCATAATCAATGTGATATGAAGCGCGGCAGATTCCTCAAGGAAGGCTAGACTTCTCTTGGACGAGAGCTTCCAGCAGCTGGTGTTCCTCACGTTGCGTACGTGAGTGCGAAGATAACCGAACCTTCCATTCTTGTACCCATGCCCATCTTGAGACACGTTCCTCTTGACTGATGCTTGATCTATTAGATTGTGGTGAGGAAGATGCCGAGATCAAAGAACGTAGCCGCTCGCGTCCGAGGATAGGTGCCAGTGAGAGAAACGACAAAAACGCAAGTTTGACTAGAATGTCTGGTGAGGTCAGCAGTGACGAGACTGTTTGCTGGGACGGCGAGGTCGTGGATGCAACGGTTTGAAGAATATCACCGATCTGACGTCAATGGTTATTTGGGCACTCCAAGGTCAGTAAATCGAAATCCTACCTGACAAGTGACCGCCGTCCAAGGGAGGCACCCAATGAAGGCACCGAGGAGGCAATCGGAGATCGCAACACCACACACACCACAAGCGATGTTAATTCCCGACCAAGGCACTACGCCAACGAGGCGGAGCACGGACAACCGTGCCCAGGTCGGCGACTTTGATTTTTTGCCGGTTGACAAATTGGATTCTCCCTCCAAGGCGATACGGGTCATATGGAGTGCACGAGGGAATAGGCGCGATAGGGATGGTGCTAAAGGTACACACAAAAGGGTTGCAAAGATTGAACCCAGTGTAGTCAATGCAGAGAGGAGCAATGTAGCCAGAACAGGATGAAACAGAGCGCCCGCTAAAACATTCTATTTTTAAAAAAGGAGCCAGGTAAATCTATCAACCAAAAATAAGATAAGCTCCGGTTTGCTCACCCAGATGACGCTGCCTGGGATCGACCAAGCATGCTTCCACACTGCAGTTACAGACAAGACGCCGATGACATGAGCTAAATGTAGCGGACCACTTTGCGAATATGCATGCAGCTCACGGCCTAGCGCCGCAAGCTCGGGTAGCGTTCTCGGGAAAGCAACGGAAATGGGCAAGGAATAGAGGGACAACAGTACGGCCGCCGTTGTTAGCGGGAAAAGTAGCATCACCAGCAGTATAGGAGCGTGCACCTAAAATGGCCAAAGGATCAGATTGAGTAGGGTGGGAAGGGGTGTAGAACGAACCGACGGAGGGCGCCACCAGCGAGCATGCGTACGAGGTGCATCCTTGTCGTTAAAAATGTCACCAAATGTTGTCTGCTGCGAGGATGCAGATATTGGTAAAACCAATTCGTCCTGCACGGTAGACTGCGGAGACGAAGGAGTAGACCAGTTTATAGAGTGAGTTGTGGGCACGTGCAAGAGATCTAAGAAACTGGATGCGATCACTGCGAACATGGAATGTTTCTGGTCCTGTTCAGGTGAGGCAAGTATTTGAGGAGAGGGTTCAAGATGTGACTTATCCACAGATGGTGTGGACGGTGTGGATGGTTCGGATTGCTGTATAGGGAGAATGAGTGAAGAAGAGCGACGTCTTCCCAACGTGTTTATGGTGAGTGCAGGACGTATGTTGGTTGAAGAAGCACGACTGCGATTAGGCGGTGGTACAGCCAAAGACTCCATCAAAGTCACTGCAGTTAAGTAAAAGGGAAAAATTGGCCAGGTTGAAAAAATAACAACTAAATATATAATACGTAAACTAGTCTGACGCTCCGATCGGCATGTATGAGCAATCCCCGATATTGGTCGGGGTATTGCAAGTTTTCACTCTAATACTACACCACAATTGCAGTACTATCAGGTACTATCGTGCAGATGACTGGACGTCGGCAGGTAATACGCAAGCACACCGGACATACACAGCATCATGATCCGTCGTCCGCGTCATCACTCTGTCAACAACAACCGACTTACTCAGACCTGTCGGACTACGTAATCCAACACCATCCCTGACAAATCATCTCGGGCTCCGTTGGTTCAAACGGTCGGCATCGGTGCATAGATGTCATAGCATAACATAGAAATTGTAGTAGGCACCTCTTCATAGTACACCCGAATGACCCCTCAATGCGCTCTCCTGCTCTCCTGGATAATGTTACCGAGCTCCTCCAGTTTGCGCTTTGCACGAAGGAGTGTACCAAGCTAATCAATGCATTAGTCCGACATCCTAATGAATACACTAGCACACCCACCCGTTTCTTCGTCAATTTTCTTGCCTTCTTATCCTGAATAGTCATCGACGTATTTAAGAACTTGTTTAGCACACGATAAGATCAACGCACCTTGGCATTTCTCAGCAACTCAAGTACCCGACGCTCGTATGGTGCAAAGCCAGAAACTTCCCGCACGACAGACCGCACGAACTTGTTTTTTGTTGATTGAATGCCCTTGCGGTGGCTGGGGCGCGTGGTCTTAGGAATGGCGGTGGTGGGGTAGCCCTTGTTCAGGCCCTGGCGCAAGTCTATGTCGACATTTGCGATGAGCGGTACGAAACATTCAAGCAAGTCACTCACTGCTTCGTACCATTTTCTTCAGGTCTTGAGGATGTGCGGTTGTTATTGGCGTCCAAGTCTACCTTGCCTCTTTCCAGGAGTCACGTGTGCTGTATTGTGGCTGATGGTACTGTACAGTTTCTTTTCCAGTATATTCCCACAACCTTTGACGAAGACATAAGGATTAGAACGTCAAAGACGTTGTATATGCATTTTGTATGCAGAGTTGTACACTATTATGTGATCTATGCTGTGATTGCAGTCATGGATGCGCAAATAAGACATTCGAAACCTAGATAATCTGTGCAGCAAAAGTGTCATGAGCCCGCTCTGTCCCACAACACTCGTCTTAGTATTGCCGCACGACTTTCACCCTTCCTGTGGCGCGCCCCGAGGTAACCACGTTGTCTTCTATATGAGGCACTGCAATGGACGTCGGCGATGTCCGCGCGGAAGAGGGAAGGTGGATGGGTGTGGGTGGCCGGGGTGAATCGGCGTATTGCTCACCTCGAATTAGGTGCCTCCGCGAGCCTCCTTCCTCTTCCTCTTCTTCTTCCTCCTCCTCCTCTTCTTCTTCATCGTCTTCAAGGGTTTCCTGTAGGAGGTAAAGCAGCTTGTATGAGTGAAAATGTCTCCGTGCCGAGATTATACCCTACCGCATCAAAATCTTCCATTAGCCGATCATCTTCATCAATGTCCTCCTCCTCGTCATACTCATCGTCATCTATCCACCGACCCCTCCAGTCTACCATATCCAATTCATCTGGGCTCTCCGGTCTCACCCGTAACCATTGCATCCGGGGTCCAGTCTTGGCCCGTTCACTGACTTTGAAACCATATATTCGTGGTTGATAAAGGTGGCCTGCAGGGCGTTTCTGCCCCCCATGCGGATTTGGATTGATGAAGGGTGAAGGTCGCGAAGAACTACTACCCGAGCCACTGTGTGGTGAGCGCCCGGGAGACATGGATGATCCCGGCGATGACGAAGGTTTGTAGAACGGCGCTGGGGCGAGTTCACGATAACTCTGGAAAAATAGGTGTGCAAATGTCGTTCCAAAGAAGGCCCCTACATCCCTCAAGATCTCGGTGAGAAGTACTAACGGTCAGTAGAGATACAGCTCACACACCATCGACCCCTTGGAAACGACTGCTCGGTGGTGCATAGATATCATTGCAATTTGGACAGAAAAGTTTAACTGTGTCGAGGCCGGGAAGATCAGAACGACCGGAAGGAACTACATTGCAGCCCATGCAATATACACGCGGGCAGACGCCAAAGAGGGCATTTTCATACTTATCAACCTGTGAGAAAGGATGATCGACTCGATCAAGTGTGTTGGTGCACGATATGGTTGACTCACCATTGCTTGCAATCCAGCACGCGTCAGTATATAACGTTGATGTACTAGACCATACAGTAGTTCAGCTGATGCTTCGACGATTGACACGTCGGGTATTTTTGAGGAATCTTCGTCTCGGAGCGAATAAGATCGTTGCGCCACAGAATGAAAAAGGCGACGTACCAGGCTCCACGTCCAACACCATCTCCATTGCTTCCTTCCAGAATGGTACCATGGCATTCAAGCCGGTGAGGTTGAAATCATCCTCGATAAAATCTTCCGAGACTTCACAGAAGTACTCGTGGCCAGGCAGTGAGCAAAACCAGCTAATCCACGTAAGGGTAGATGTAGGAGTAGATGATGCTGAAAATGAACATGGAGTAAGTTAGCGAGCTGTCGATAGATAACTCCAAAAAAACGCGCAAAGAAAGTCACAACTTATGAAGTCCGGAATGAATGATAGGTTTGATACGCACTGTAGCCTTCTTCAACTTCCTCCATAACCTCGTCGCCCTCACCAATACCACTAATTGCCTCTTCCTCCTCAAGCTCGACCTGCTCCTCCTCAAGCTCGGGTGCACGGGACATAACGTTCACACTTTAAGTCAGACTGGCTGACGTGCTGTGGGTCTGCATTCTGTTTCTCCAGAAGTTCCAGATTTGTATTCAAACTCCGCTTTTGTGTTCACAGCTGCAACGCTTCGATCACGACAAACTTTAGCAAGATTTTGGGCCACAGGGAACAGCTACAGACCTCGGCGCACATCGAACACATGAACCCTCTTCCTAGCACATTTGTATGTAATACTTGGCTCTATTTGCAACTCACGACGTCTGGAAACTGCATGTCATCTGTTCTTTTACATGTCCACCCCAAAATGAAGATCCCATGATAACCAGCAGCAATAATTGCCCAGCAATCCAACTGATGATGGTATATGAAACAGCCTTCCATCTTGGCAATGCACCAATCTCCGCAGCAAATGTACTGATTGTCGTTAGACAACCACAATACCCGTCTCCTAAACCCTGAAGCAGCGAGCAAGCATTTTGAGAAACTGGAGATGGGAAGCCTTGGAGTACATGGAAAAAACCAAGGAGAGCGGTCCCAAGTGAGTTTGCCATGAAGGTTCCAAGAGGTATAGTCTTCAAGCGGGGATTCAAATTTATCGACAGAAGGTACCGAGTTAATGTGCCAGGGAACGAAAATAGGAGAGCAGCTGTCGCTTGATGGCGGAAATTGCCTGGCAGGAAGAAGTACACAGGAAGGGTCGCTGCGTATGTGAGGATCGCAAGGATGGTAAGCGTGTATCGGAGGTTCTTGCTCGGCGGTGGAGGTGCCGAGAAATACGGCTGAACTGCTCCACAGACGTATACTCCAAATTTCAATGACGCCAACGACAACACGAGGGTGACCCAAGTCTGGGTAAAACCATCCATGAACTGTTAAACGTAAAAGAAAATGGCGTCATGAATTGACCGTAAAAAAAGGTAAGGGTCTGCTCACATCTCGAAGACCGCCTCTGAAGAACTGACCGCTATTCACCCACGAATCAAAGATGTCCACCTGCCACCCAGAGAATGTTGTTAATGATCCACAGAACCCTGTGCCAGGTTAATGGGTATTATGGTGTGATAGCAGAGGTACTAACCAGTGGTCAAGGCCGTGTATAACGGACCATAGCTGCGGAAAAGTATGAAAAGCTAGGTGGTGAAAGAGAGAAGGGACACATACAAATTACCAAATGGTACTTTCATTCTTAAGCCAACGCCCATGATAAAGCACCCTGTGGCTTGGACGTAAGCCAATGGGAAGATACTTTGGCCGTCGTAGGTTGTAAGCGCTTGTAAGCCGAGCCGTGCGAGGACGCCGAACATTGACGCGGGCATGAGGAGGGCTAGCACATGGATTGATAGGGGGTGATATATCTTTGCAGGTGGAAGTTCTTCGACTTCTGATGGAGGGCGATCGATGCTAGCGAGAGTATTTGCGTCGTCTGTTGTTTGATGACGAGCGAGAATGGACCCGACATCAGGATGCTGTTGCGATGGAAGGTCTAAAGACATTAGTGAGGTATCAGTGTGATGGGAAACTTCAGTTTGCAGGAGAAGGGAATATATACTTGGTTGATTCGAATTCGACACTTGGAAGCAGCAACAAATTGCAAAAAGCGTTGTTCGAAATCGGGAGTTGACAACGTTGATTGCCAACCAGTGGACCAACCAATGAGAAGCCAGGGATAGAATCGAGCGCTGAACGCTGAGCGACGATTATTTATACAAATGACTAGCCTAGTGACTACAAACACAGGCAGGCAAAAACTACTCATGACAATCAATTTGCTTTTCATGAGCAGGTGATTAGTAGCGGCATGACTAGCTATAGCTTGTTGACTCGACTCAATTACTCTTGGAGTCACAGATCCGGATGCTGTGTGTAAAATTGACCTCGACTGGATTGAGGTCTTGAGCTTCAGAGCTTGTATAGTGTTTCGAGTGTACTGTTATCGGATATAAGTTGCTGCACCGTAGGGTGCAGGTCTCTTCGCTGTAAAAATATCCACTCGGAAGAAGCTTGATCATGGGTAGAACAATTGTAACGATGCGAGATAACGGGGAGCCGGGAATGAGGATTGGGACTAAGATGACTCGAATGAAACGATCACGGGCCATGGTGCTGCGGCAACGACACGGGGTCAGACATGTTGCTCGCAGCGGCAGCTCCGAGCTACCATGCATGTCAATTACTTCAATTGTTGAAGGGGTGCAAGCAGGGCCTCAATTGAAAGAACAGGGGCCACGCGAGGCTCCTCGGAGAATGACCGTCGCATCTAGGAGATTGATGATGAACAGCTACTGGCAGCTCTGAGCTCATGCTCATTGCAATTGTGGGAAGTTCGAGAAATATCGAAGGTCATTTCGATGCGAACCGAGAACGGCGTTTAGCTCGAGTTGGCAACATTCTTGCAAGTCAGGTAAGTCCGACCCAAAAGTTTGATTACAAATTTCGAATTCTAACTTTATCATCCTAAATTTGATTTCCACAAGTGTATATATCTACCATCCTCAGCACACATGCTGTTCTGCCCGACATGCGCTAATCTCCTCGTCATATCCTCAGAAACAGGGTACAATAAATGGGCATGCAATTCCTGTCCATATGAGTTTCCCATCTCGAAGCAGGTATGTACTCCAATCATTTAAAAACTATATTACCCTCCTTGATACCAGTCCTTTCATGGCCGCGTCGTAGATGACTTCCCGTTCGCGTATGAAGCGCAAGGAAGCAGACGACGTACTCGGAGGAGAGGAGACCTGGCGAGATGCTGATTCTACTGCAAGTTAGTCACTTCTTTTCTTTCGCGATGCAGGAAGTTGATACACAATCCATAGTCACTTGTGACAAGTGCAGTCATCCTCGCGCATATTTCTATCAGTTACAGATCCGATCTGCGGATGAGCCCATGACGACATGTATGTTATTCCTCTCAAATCAATTTACGACGCTTGACACTGATTCACTGCTTCTTGGGATCAGTCTACAGGTCAGTGTTACTGGCATCTATGATAGCCAGTTTGATGATCGAGCTCCAGATGCGCCGGATGTGCCTATCAATGGCGCGAAAATTAACCTTTTTTTAAAAAAAAAACATGGGTGCCGAGATGCTTACTAGCACTTCATGATTCTGATGTGTACACCAAAATGTTGCTAAGCCTCTGGCATCCTCAGTCACGTCGGAGCCACCACCCACACTCCCATCTTGATTCCATTCATTGTTCACGGGTGTGTACTACCCATCTCACAGAGTTTCCATCTGCGTGGGGGCCGCACATATGAGCTTGTGAATATCACAGTGTGAGGATTTACACCCACCTCCGAATTATTGCGCCCCGGGACCTCAGCGCGGCTCGGTGCTTTCTCCATCCCAGGCTGTGCATGCTTACAGTACCCTCGCCCCCACCGCTGTCCCTCCACAATTTCCCCCGAGCCCGCCACCTAAAAGCCCAGCTGTCATCATATTTCAAACTTTTACTCTTCCGGCAGCTGATAACTGTCATCATGCCAACGTCAGCATATAACAGGCAGGGTGAACGAATACTACTGCGACCGTTGGAACGGGTTGAATCGGTGACAAACTTACATCATAGGCGTATAGCTTTCCAAGTTGGCGGCCGTGGGCGCGCGAATGACAGCGGTAGGCGTTCCGCTTTGGCTGACAGAAAGGCTGTACGTCGGAGGCCGCCGTGTCCACTCATCTATGAATATCATCGCCTTCATGGTCAAGTCGATGCTGGAAGTCGATGGACTAGTCGGTGTATACTTGTCTGAGAATTCAGAAAGTTTACATAGTAGCTCAAATAATAGTCACTGCTAGTCGAGTTGTCATGATGACACTTGCAATGCGCTAATGGTTACTTCTCGCGAAGTGAGCTGAACCAAACAAAGTGCGACCACGGCCGACCAGCCCACCAAGTTAGACTTGAGTTAGTGTGCTACAGTGTGCTTTCATGTGAAGGCTTGCGAATTTCGAAAGCCATGGCCTATGTGAGCGCTCGTCCGGACTAGCCGGATTCATCCGGTATTTCCGCTGTTCCCATAATAGAACTTGTCTGTAAAGCCTCACAACTTTTTCATCCATACACACCTTGACTTTTCTCAAACAAAAATGTTGGCTCACCGGTCGATTGTTGGTGTTGCGCAGGGCGCATTCAAGTCTGCCCAGGTTGGCCGATTTGTCTTTTCTGGTTATTCGGGTTGGCACTTAGTACGTTTACGTTTTAGCCATTGAGACGGTATGCTTCCGCCGCCCCGACTGCAGCTTTTGCTGGGCACAAGGGTAATAACGTGAGTCTTGCAGCAATCTTCATGTTATAGCCCTTACCCAGTTGGCAGGGCAAATACACCGTGACTTTGATTCCTGGAGACGGTCAGGTTGCTTGTCCAGTGGAGATTCCGTTGTTTGACGCCGGAGTTTAGGTATTGGCCCAGAGATTAGCGAATCAGTCAAGGACATATACGCTGCTGCAAAAGTTCGTTTGCAGTCTCTCATTTGAGATGAATGCGACTTACAAGTTCAATAGGTCCCCATCGAATGGGAGGAAGTCAGCGTCACTCCCGTTCTGAAAGGTGGGAAAACAGTTATTCCGGACGCTGCCATCAACTCTGTAAAGAAGAACACTGTTGCTCTGAAAGGTGCGTCTGATTATGGCTGGAAAGAAGCAAGACACTAAATCCTATTCTCAGGACCGCTGGCAACTCCAAGTGCGCCCCGTTTTCACTGTGATTCACATGTATGCTGAGCGTCCTCAAGTTGGAAAGGGTCACGTCTCTTTGAACTTGACTCTCCGTCGGACGTTCAACCTGTTCGCGAATGTTCGTCCGTGTGTTTCGATCAAGGGCTTCAAGACTCCTTATGACAACGTTGATACCGTGTTGATTCGGGAAAACACCGAGGGAGAGTACTCGGGTATCGAGCACGAGGTAGGGTTCACCCTATGATACATGAGTATTTCTTACGTGAATGTTCTAGATTGTGGATGGAGTGGTCCAATCTATCAAACTCATCACATGGGATGCCTCTGAGCGCGTTGCTCGTTATGCCTTCCATTATGCACAGGCTAGCGGAAGGAAGCGAGTCACAGCTGTCCATAAGGCCAACATCATGTGAGTAGTACCTTAGCTAAGAATTACACATGAATACTGATTCAATACAGGAAAATGTCGGATGGCATGTTTTTGTCCGCATGTCGGCAGGTTTCGAAGGACTTCCCGGGTATCGCCTACGACGAAGACCTTTTGGATCGTGTCTGTTTACAGGTAAATAAACACGAGGCCAATGTGGTGATGAGCACAGCTGAGGACATCTTGATAGATTGTGCAGAATCCCCAACCTTACTCCAACCGGGTCATGGTGATGCCTAATCTCTACGGGGATATTTTGTCGGACATGTGCGCTGGATTGATTGGAGGCCTTGGCTTAACACCGTCCGGTAACATTGGTCGTGTAAGTCGCATTTTCCTCTAAGCGGCTCGAGCTGAAGCCTTATGTCCTCTTCCGTAGGATGCATCAATTTTCGAAGCCGTGCACGGATCGGCTCCCGATATTGCAGGTACAGCTCAACTTCACTTTGGGTGTATAACCAATACTGACGTGGTCAAATATAGGGAAGGGATTAGCTAATCCTACTGCTCTCCTTCTATCTTCTCTCATGATGCTGAGGTACGTGAACCTCAGGAACTGATGTGGGCTTCTAGGCTGATCCGGGATACCTTGTATAGACACATGAACTTGAATGAGCATGCTGCCAAGATCGAAGGGGCCGCTCTTAGTGTAAGGAGTTTTTTCCTATTACGCGTATGTTATGTGCTTACGGTGCGCACACTATAGACGATCGCGGAAGGTCAGACGATTACGGGTGATCTGGGTGGAAAGGCATCGACTAAGGAGTACACGAGTGCGATCATTGACAAACTCGCGAAGGCATGATCGTTCCTGTACGCGTAGAGGGGCAGTGAGATTTATAGACAGATAGACCGTATTTCTTACCAATACTAGATAATTGGGATCGGCTCTAATCTTCGGTCCCTTGCTTCCGCTACCGACTTGGGCTGCGTGGGAAATAGTAGCCTGCGGATGTGATAGGAAAATGAACTCAGTCAATGTTGACTTACGACGACCAGCTTTAAGATCCCTTCCACGCGCCTACACACGGCATTCACTCTTCATAATCCCTCACTCGCCCTACAGGGCAAAGACGACAATAATACTTTCACATTCCTGTCCAACAAGGTTAGCTTGTCAGAACTGGCCTTGTGCAACTGACGAACTCTTGGATAGATAACTCTAGTTCACATTCTTCCACAAAACAGATAATCCAAAAAACATTGAACATCCTGTAATAGTTTCCTGCCTTCGCGCGATACGAACGAAATGACCGACGAATTCACTCAAACACACAACCTGCCGAAGAAGGACGAGAAGAAGCCTTCACCTGTTTTAAACAGAGGTTCAAGGAGAACTTCATCCAATGCTAGACCTTCTTCCGCAGCCGGAAACCTCCAAGGTGCCCCAAGGCCTTCCTCTAGGTCCGGTAACAAGAAACCTCAAACAGGGGCGTCTACTGCTGGCGGTACTGAGTCCGGCTCAGACACCAACAGGAAAGCTCCTGAACAGCCTAAGAAAGCCGAACCTCGTAGCAAGAGTCAGACCGGTGGTGCCACACGAAACGGTAATCACCGTAAAGGGCAACCTTCTGCGTCTCAGGGTACACGCGGCATGACTGGTCATTCCTCTTCGCCTGCACCCCCTTCCGCATCAGAATCGAGTGATGCCTTGTCATCTTTACAGAGAGTCATTGCAGACCTGAAGACAACTTCGCCTCCAAACCAATCTTCCTCCCCTGGCATCAGCAATTCGCTCGCTGCTTCTATGCACGCCCCACAGGCACAACCTTCAAACCTTCCAGTCAATGCACCTGTGTTTCAGCCAGGTGCTTCTTCTTTCCCTGGGTCAAGCCTCGCAGATGCTGTTAGACACCGTAAAGCTGTATCGATGGGCACCGTCGGTGTTCCTGGGAACTACAACACCTTCTCGCCTCACCTGGGCGCGATGATGGAAGATGCCGAAGATGGTGCCGGGGCTTTATTTGAAGATGGCGAAATCCCTGAGCAGTTTTACCAGCATCAACAAGGGCACCAGCCTCGCTCTCAGTCTCAAAGTTTCATGGCTCCTCGTTTCGCTGCTCTCGCAGCACAAGATCAGGATGTTCTTGGACCCACTGGACGTCCGCAGCTCGCCCCTGGTTTCATGTTCGGAGCGCGCAGGAGAACTAGCTCTAATGTTCCCGTTGGTCCGTCTATCAATGAGGAAGATGCCAGATTCCAATTCCCTCAGCAACAGCCTAACTTTCCTCCGGATGAACAAGCCCATAGGAAACCTGAAGGTGACTTCACAGGGATCATGGCTGAACAGGTATGTGGTCAATCATGTTGTGTGCTTTGTGTCACTAAAATTATCCTAGATTGCCCTCCAAAACCAGATTGAGGCGCTTCAGCAACAACAACAGGCCTTGTATCAACAACAGCTCGCCTCGAACCAGGTCCTTTCGCTGCAAACTCCGGGATTGGTCCCGAACAGGCACAGGCGTGTCCAAAGCACATTACCGACCAACATGGGTGGAAATTTAGGTGTCAACGCTTTCAATTCCCCTATGGGCCAATTCAATAGCATGAGCAACCTTGGCCTTGGTCTCGATAATCAGCCAGCCGGTCTTCCACGCGGCCACGGTCGGCGACACAGCGTCAATGTTGTCAACAAATCTAGCCCTGCTCAGGGGTCAATCAGCTTCCCTTACAATGGTCAGGACGCTTTCGATGATGGTTTTGCACCTCCTCCTGGTTTTGGTGGTCACTCTCGCACCACTTCTCGAGTTGATTCTAGCTGGCGCATCAGTATGTTTATACTCGTTTGCCTGTGGATCTATTATTCATAATTGTTTAGATGGAGGTGTTGGCGCCATTCAAGGCAACAATGCATTCGCCGCTGATCTTGCACAAGCACAAGCGCAGCTTCAGAGTTTGCAACAATTCCGTGCTGCAGCTGGTGGCCACCATAACAAGATGCCATCTTTCTCGTTCCCCAACATGCTTCCGAACATGATGGCTGCGAACATGATGGGTCTGAACATGGGTGGTGTCAGCTTACTGCAGCAGCAGCAACAACAACAGCAGCAGTTCCAATCACAGCTTCAGCAACAATCCAACCAGCCCCAACGCAAATCTCTTTTCGCTCCTTACCTACCTCAGGCTTCGCTGCCGCCACTTCTTGCAGCAGGAAAACTAGTTGTTGGGATCTTACGAGTCAACAAACGTAATCGCTCGGACGCATACGTTGCTACTGAGGTTCTCGACGCTGACATCTATATTTGTGGATCCAAGGACCGTAATCGTGCTCTGGAGGGTGATATTGTCGCCGTCGAGCTTCTTGATGTTGATGAAGTATGGGGGACGAAGAAGGAGAAGGAAGAGAAGAAACGCAAGAAGGAAGAGAACTCCGCTTATGACTTGAAGTCGTCTTCAGTACGCCGGGACGACAAGAAAAAGGATGACGTTGAAGTTGAGGGCCAAGGTCTGATGCTATTCGAAGATGAGGAGTACGTTTACATCGTTTTCTCTGTTAGATCATTGACTCAGTCGTTTGTTTCTGTCAGGGTTACCGATGATGTCAAACCTCAGTTTGCGGGGCATGTCGTTGCCGTTGTTGAGCGTATGCCTGGTCAACTCTTCTCTGGCACTCTTGGTCTATTACGCCCTTCGTCCGCTGCGACTAAGGAGAAGCAGGAGGCTGAGCGCAGAGAACGTGAAGGCGACCGTGGCGACGAGCCCAGGCGCGGACCCATAGAACGTCCGAAGATCGTGTGGTTTAAGCCCACCGACAAGCGAGTACCGCTCATTGCCATTCCGACTGAACAGGCGCCCGCGGACTTTGTCCAGAACTCTGAGGCCTATGCAGACAAGCTGTTCGTTGCTTGTATCAAACGTCACGTCAGTGTGTTTTGGCAGTTGTATGTCGACTACATTGACACTTCTTCCATAGCCCATTAGTTCACTCCACCCATTCGGTACATTGGCTGAAGAGCTTGGCCCCATTGGAGACATCGAAGTTGAAACCAGTGCTCTGTTGAAGGACTGCAACTTCCCTACAGAGGAGTTCTCGGACAGCGTTCTTAAATGCCTGCCTCCTACACCCTGGACGTGGGTTCCCGGTTACCTCTCTCAAGATGTGAGCTAATGATACCATCTACAGTGTCCCAGAGAGGGAGTTTGAGGTCCGGAAAGATCTTCGTGAAGACCGCATATTCTCTATTGATCCTGAGACTGCAAAGGACCTTGATGACGCATTGTCCATTAAGGCCAACGACGATGGCACTTATGATGTGGGCGTGCATGTCGCTGACGTCTCTTACTTCGTCAAGCCTAACACTGCTCTTGACCGCGATGCTCGCAAGAGGGCAACTAGTGTGTATCTTGTGCAGCGCGCCGTCCCCATGCTCCCTCCCACCATTAGCGAAGAGGCGTGCAGTCTTAACCCGGGCGTTGAACGTCTGGCATTCTCAGCTATCTTTACCATGACAAAGGAGGGGAAAATCATCAACAAGTGGTTGGGCAAGACCGTTATCAAGTAAGTGTTATTTTCCGTGCATTACATAATTGAATTCATTTAATGTTAGGTCTTGTGCGAAACTGTCATATACCGAGGCTCAGAATGCTATCGACGGTCACATTCTAGGTGATCTCGTGGTCGCTCCTGAACACAGTACACAAGCGATCGTGCATGACATCAAGGTCCTGAATGGTCTCGCAAAGCAACTTCGTGCTACGCGCTTCCAGGATGGTGCTGTCGGCCTAACGTCCAAGCGTCTAAAGTTTACCCTAGACGAAAACGGCCGACCAGTAGACTGCGAGCAGACCGAGAACACCGATGCAAACAACATTGTTGAAGAGGTTTGTGTTTAAATTATACCTGAGCTATATCGAAGACTGATTTGAACAATTGAAGTTTATGCTGCTGACCAATATCACCGTCGCACAACGCATTGCTGTTCACCTTCCCGAGCAGGCCCTGCTTCGTAGACATGATACGCCGCTCGAGAGACGCCTCGTGAGTTGTAATCCCATCCGTAATCCCACTCCAGTTACAACTTTGTCCAGAATCTTTTTGCTGAACGTGCCAATCGACTCAATATCGCAGTCGATATCTCCTCTAGCGGTACCATCATGAAGTCATTCGAGGCGATCGTGAACCCGACTGCCCGCATGGTGCTGGAGCTGATCTCCCACAAGGCTACTCAGCGAGCCAAATACTTCTGCGCCGGCATGCTCGACATCGCGAAATACAACCACTATGCCTTGAACGTCCCCCTCTACACTCATTTCACCTCACCTATCCGTCGCTACGCCGATGTTCTTGTACACCGTCAACTCGAATCGGTTTTGCAGGGTGGACGTGAGTCACGCTTCACAACCGTGTCTGTTATGTTTCTGACAAAATCGCAGTGGAACCCAAATTTTCCATGGACCGTGACGCCGTTGCAAAGATTGCTCAACAGTGCAACATGTTTGTGTCATTTTATTAATAGCTAGTCTGGTGAACTGACTTTTATGAACAGCAAAAAGGACTCGGCAAAGTTGGCGCAGGAGCAGTCGACCCATCTCTACTTGTGTGTTCTAATCTCGGATCTCACCCAGCGATATGGTCCTGTCATTCGTCCAGCTACGGTTGTTGGTGTCCTTGAAGCCGCGTTTGACGTCCTTGTTCCCGAGTTTGGCATTGAGAAGCGGGTCCATGTGGATCAAATGCCTATTGACGTAAGTGTTTCGGAGCTGACTCATGAGAAGGAATCTAATCATTTGAACTAGAACCACGTTTATGATGAGCATTCGCATACCTTGCAAATCTATTGGTCGAACAGGGACGTCCTTAGCTGGTTGGCAGAGAACAGTGATGACGAGCACTTGAAGAAGGTTAAGCAAAACGCTGAGGCCCACGCTGTCAAAATGGAAGTTGCATCTCGCTCTGTGCATGACGAGAAGGCCCTCTTTGACGAGGATGATGCCGATGACGATGAAATTGTGTTAGGAAGGGACATGGAAGCTGAGAAGGCACCTGAGACCTCGAAGCAAAGGCTGTTGTCTGCCGCCAAAGTCCAGCCTGTGTTTGAGGGATTGAGGACCACACCAAATGGTCACAGGATTCAGGATATCAAGGAGCTCATGACTGTTCCTGTGCGTATTTCTTTTCAGTGATCCATATACATTTTGTTGACTCGTACACAAGGTTATCGTAACCGCTGATTTGACCAAGAGCCCGCCTGTCATCAAGGTGTATAGCGTCAACCCTTACGCGGAGCAGAAGAAGTGATACTCTGCATCCCCGAAGAGAACGGCGTTTTATGTGTACGATAACCGTTTGATATCCCATCATGCTCTCTTTTCCAATTCCATATGTTACTAACTCATGGTCTGTACTAGTATTCGGTCATCACACGATTTCCTTGTCACATTCTCTCCTTCGCTTCGCCATTATGCCGTTGTTGTCTACAGGCCCTATGTTCAATCGTGTCTTGCTATACTATAGCATTAGTTCTTTGTTAGTGGTATGAAATCTAATGTGTTGTCTTTCATTCTGAAGTGGCCTGTGAATTGTGAATGTTCGATGAAAATGATTGAATAGATTGTGTATCCTACAATATCATAACAGTGAGTATCTTTTAGCACTAGTAAATGAGCGTGAATAAGTATATGCATATGCAAGATGCCCGTGGATAAGTCAAATAAAGTCAAGAAAATAAAGTCAGTCATATCAATCGTCACGCATATCATATCCAAGAAGTGATTGCAGGTTGTCGGGAGTTCGGGGTATTTGCTCGGCTCTCTGCTCTGCCCAGGTTACGTTCACGAGGCGGAGGTGTCGCTCCCGTCGATTTTCTGCTGGAGCGAGAAGATGAACGGCCCATTTCGCAAGATTCGCCACCTTCCTGGACGGTGTGTAGGGAGTGGAAGGAAGTAGAGCTACTCATACTTCCAGCGCGTGCATGGATTGCCGTACTGCACCTATTGCATATCTCGTCATTGCATAGCTTGAACAGCTCGTCCAGACCAAGATAATTGGCCTCGTCACGAAGCTCGAGTAATGCCACAAGTTTGGCCCGTGACGAGGACGCAAGTTGGATGGCTCTAGGAATAATGGCCGGGTGTTCTGAAACAAAAGGGGGAGTGCGGAGATATGACAAGATGTGCGCGTATCTAGAATGATGGCATTGAGGATTATACACAGTCAGAAGCGGGAGGTACTTACGGAGCACTTGGCCTGTCGAGGAATACATGTATATTCATGGCTGACTGTGATATGGCCCCAGAAGACGCTAAATGATCATGAAACATGGCATTGAAAGAGTTGTGTGGAAGTTCAGAAATATCGCTTGCATTAGAATATAACGATGCTGCAACTGATTTTCGTGGCAAGAGGGAAGTGACATAATTTGAGAGGTAAGAAGGCCTTGAAATAAGAGTACCGAGTGTCGTGCGGTGCGTTGCTGAACTTGTCTCTATGGTCACGATAATCTTGGAAGGATCGATCGCACTGCTAGGGATAGGGGACAGCAGAATAGGTTCAAAGGGAGGTTGGGCAGGCGTAGTAGAGACATTAACGGGAAGTGGTGGTACGGGGGGCAGGGTCTCTGGCAAAGACGGGGAGGTCTTTGCTTTAATGACTGGACGAAGGATTGTAGATGATGTCGTTGGTGCAGGGGGAGGAGGACGGGTTGGGCATGGTGGTATGGATATGTCTTTCACCGGAAGACTTGATGAACTACTATGTGTGGAGGTGGATATAGTTGAAATTGACGACTCAAGGGAAGCCTTCGACGGCACAGGTGGCGGACCACCCGAAAGTGGAGGTAAGTCCATTGCCTCCTCAGAGGGAGCCTCAAAAGCGGACCCCCGTTGACTACCATTAACTTCATCGCCAAACAGAGCGCTCGTACCAGACAGCGCCTCTTGTGGTGTTTTCACAACCATGGCGCCGCTTCCAAGAGGCCCACTACGTTTGACATTGAAGATATCTAAGGAGCTGTCAAACCTAGGTTCCGATATGCGAATTGGTGCAGCTACGACACCATGTGGCGAAGTATTGGAAGAAGAACTCGTATTGCGAGTCAGCCAAATCATTGGCCTCGAGACTGAAAGTTTGTGACCTTTTTGAGGTGTAATTTGAGGTGATACTGGTGCAGAAGATAGAGAGAAATGATGCAGAGCTAGCTCTGTTGTTTGTGAGCTGGATGGATGCTGAGGACGACTTGGAATAATCATGAAGGGAGTTAGTGGAAGCCGAAGAAGGGTACTCGTGGACGACTAAGAGAAGATTAAGGCGGTCAAAGAGCACAAGCCCGTTAAGAAGTTAATGAACAAAAATATTAAACCAAATTGTTGTTTTCAGTTATCCGAAGAACAAAAAGATTAGAAAATGATCGGCGCTAATGTACAACACTTACCTCTTTGGGACAACAAAGATTTAAAGCACTCGTGGGAATATTGACAATACTTGCTGGCATGACTTCTACAGTCACCACAAAATTCCAGACCGCTTTACCCTTCGCACTTCTTTCAATTTCACCTAGTCTGGCTTCCCTTCATGCTTCTCGAGCACGTTCTCTCTGCCCAGAAGAATCTGATGCTTCATCCGCCATGAATTGTCTACGATGTGGTTCGTATCTGTTGGCCGCCGATGGCTCTGTAGAACTCCACAGACCAAGAAAAAGGAGAAAGGTTGCTGACAAGAAATCAAACGCCGTAAAGACTACTTGTCATCGTTGTGGCTTCATTTCCTATACTTTATTTGATAAAAGAGAGACATTCCCTCGGTCAAAGCCTGCCACTGGAGCCGAACTATCACTACCATCGTCGGTGCCTTCAGTGCCCATTTCATCCCAGTCAGAACGCAAACCGAAAAATGAATTGATACCGTCTTCGTCGCGTTCTTCCGTGCCAGTTGGTTTATCCCCTGTGGCACATTTAACACGAGGAACTACACCTGACCTGTACACGAAACCCAAAAAGAAGACAACGGTATTGCAGGAGATGCTGGCTCGTAATCGAGAGAAAGAGGTTGTAAGAGCAAAATCCCAGCAAAAATCACCACCAAGTGGCCTTGCCTCATTCCTGAGCTCACTACAATGATAAAAAGGTGCGCTATTAATCTTCCATATAACTACACCGTGTTCTCGAGACCTGACATCTTCAACAATAGTCCCGTGATGGATTTTAGCGGATGTGTATCTCCTTCCTCATGCTCAGACTTGAGCGCACTTGGATGAAGCGGCTGGGTAATCAGGAAATGCAGAATATCGCTCCTCCGATGGGGTAGACAACGTATTGGAAGTTCACGCTGAAACAATACGTGGACAGCAATTGTGCATGGCATTTGACTTTTTCAACTAATGTGGTGGCCGGTTCATTGATCTGAAACGTGCGCACGGAGTACTTGTACGGCTCTGGCACGAACATACAGTAGCTCCCCTTACAATGGAGAGAAATAGCTCAACGATATCTTCAACAAATTCGCTCCGCGGCCCCTCTGAAAATCCACCATCCGTCAGTCAGCACTGACACAATCAACTTCCACTTTTTGCTGTGCTCCTATCAACAACATTTTCTTCATCACTATGATGAGGTCTCAGACATTTTGGGAAATTTGTGCCGACGATCAGGATCCGAGGAGAAGGGGAGGATCACTGACGCAAGGCAGGAATGCATAAGTGACCGAATTGCTTGCATCTGTTCTGGAAGTCAGAATCGGCCTCTCACCCTCTGCATCACTGCTCACCTGTCTCTTTCTGCTGCCTCGTGTCAATGCGGTGTCACTCAGAGGCCGATTCTCAGCCAATCGAAATCACCGTGGTCGGCATAACTCGGTTCAAAAGCTTGGAGTGTTACTGCCAGTCAGATTTCAATGCTGATCGAGATTTTTCTTGATCTGAAGACCAATGGTGCATGCAATCGTACCGGATCGTCACCATGATGCTGGTCAAAACTGGAGCAGAGATGAACGGGATTCAATCCAAGTCAATAAAATCGCCCTGGAAGTGCGATCTGGATACGAGATCAAATCTGACTCGGAGTGAAGAGCTGTGGAATTTTCACTTTGGCAATGCCGGTTTGAGGCCGGTGAGCATCTCTTTTAATCAAAGGCTGAGTCCGTCCATCAACGTTCAACATTGTTGCTCAGGTGAAAGCAACGATTGGCAGCTCGGTGCCAATTGTATCCACTAGTCCATTTGATTCCACAGCATCTAATCCGGTTAACATGCCTCTATCCAAGATCGTTTCGAATGAAAACAACAGTCGCGATTCAATTCTTAGAGCGACTCTGACTCTTCAGATAGTAGACTGGAAAACCGGACACCGTGCTCTGTTTTTCGTCACGTGCATCAAAGACACCAGACACCTTGTTTTTGTTTGCTGGTGTAATTTATAGTTCAGCGACATGCGATGACTAAAGGTCACAGCCTGCGCTACACAGGTATTTGCAGTCTCAAATTCATTATTAACTCGTGCCTACAATCCGTAACTACGGTTGATGCAACAGCATCCAGTTTGTGCCCTATGCCACATACTGCCCGGGACCATCAATCAAATCTGTACGAGATGTCTTTGACCTAATCCCGTTCCGATGTCCCGTAGTGACTTTCCACAAGCATTCTACAGGTGTAGATCTCGATGCGAGCCTACGCAATTAATATTTCCATGATCTAATTTCTTTCATGGAAGGTTATCTCATCTACTACTTTTCAGGTCGCAGTAAACTGTTGTGAGATGCCAAATTCAAACTTTCAGTCACCCAAACTTCAGGGCTCTCGAGCAGCGTAATGGAAGATACAACCATTCCTCGGATTTGTTTATGTAGGCTTCAAGGGGAGATGAAGAACGGTCTGTGTTGGTGCATCCGCTGCTGACAGTCACTGCACGCCAGTGGAGCGGTGCAGGACAGGAGTGGCGGGTCCCGGTGGCAGGAGTCCTGGCTCGTGGTCGGTAGTCCTCGCGCGTGTCGTAGTCTGTCCTCGATAGACAGCCGTAGCCTCCCGCCATAGAGGTCTGGTCTTGGTTCCCTTGCAATCCGTGCCCGTTCCACCGGTGAATGATAGACAGTGAGGGCATGAATGTTCACCTGAATAAGGTGCCGAGAAGAAGTTAATGACTCATGAGTGCTGATTCTTCGGTATTAAGTCGTAGAAGGCCTGTATCATAACATGGTGATGCTCGCTTCCGTACACCTGCGCTCAATATGATCTAACTAACTTTAGGGAACTGTTTTCGGGTC